AGGGAACACAAGCAGGGGGAGTGGGAGAGGGAGAAGCAGGCTTCCCACGGAGTGGGGAGCCCACGCGGGACTCGATCCCAGGACCCTGGGATCACGACCTGAGCCAAAGGCAGATGCTTAACGACAGAGCCACCCAGGTGCCCCTATCTTGGCTACTTTAAAATCTTTGTCAGATAATGTAACATTTCTGGCATCTCAGTATTTGTATTGATTGCCTTTTTTTCATGGAGTCTGAGGTCTTCCTAGTATTTGGTATCACAAGTTATTTCTGATTGAATTCTGGACATCTTGGGTGTTATGTTATGTTATGAGATTCTGGATCTTAATTATATCTCTGTTTCAGCTGTCTCTTTCTTTTTTTTTTTTTTAAAGATTTTTTATTTATTTATTTGAGAGAGAGAGAGAGAGCACATGAGGGGGGGGGGACGGTCAGAGGGAGAAGCAGACTCCCTGCCGAGCAGGGAGCCCGACGCGGGACTCGATCCCGGGACTCCAGGATCACGACCTGAGCCGAGGGCAGTCGCTTAACCAACTGAGCCACCCAGGCGCCCTCAGCTGTCTCTTTCTGACACCATTCTGGCAGGGCATGGGGGGCATTGCCTTTTTACTGCCAGGCGGGGTCTAACATCCAGGTTCCCCACTCATCTGTCATTGACACCTGAGGTGGGGGCTTCTCATTACTGCTGGGTGGGGGTGGGCTTTCTGGCTTCCTAGCAGGCCTCCAGGGATAATTTCCTGGCTGGGAGAGGTAGAAGCGCCTTGCTGCTTTCCACATGGGTTCCACTGACACCATGGGGATGAAGTGGTCTCTTGATTTCTGGGTGGTATGAAAGTCTTACTGTCCCCTAGGCCTCCTAGGACAGCATTGCAGTGGGGAGGGTGAGGAGGAGGGTGCTCTTTTACTGCTGGGGTGGGGGCGGAAGTTTGGTTCTCTAGTGGTCTTTACTGACACTGTAGGCAGGGGCCAGGGCTCATTACTGCCTGGAGAGCTTGAAAGTCCCAATTCCCTACTGGGCCTTCTCTGACACTGTCTTGGTGGGAAGGTTGTGGGACTTTGTTACAAGCTGATGAAGGTGACAGTCTAGGCTCCTGTTATGTTTTGCTGGTTTGAGTGAGGACAACGTTTGGCTGGGGTAGAGCAGTTATTGTCTGAAAGTTTTCTTTCTTGCTATAGCCTGCCCCTTCGGCTGAGAGAAAAAAGGCTTTTGTTAGGTTTTGTTTTGTTTTAATTTGTCTTTGTCTTTTGATGTTTCTGGATTGCTGGCTTCAACATCCAAGTCTGGGAATTTGAAGCATAAAGAAAACCTAGGAAATTTACCATTTTGTTTTTCCTTGAATCCTGAGGTCCCTAGTTGCTCTGCCTTCTTCTCTCCACCTTTCAGTCTCCTTATGTTTGTTTTATATATAATGTCCAGGGTTTTTAGTTATATTTAGTGGGAGGAATAGGGAAAAATATTATTTTCTCTATATTCCAGAAGTCCTCGCTTTTTTATGCATATCAAATGGATGACCTTGTGGGCTATAAAGCAAAACATTTCTCTATGTTGTACGTAAATGACTCCTGTTGATCTTAAAATATTGTAAATCTAGCTCTCTTTAATATTATAATACTGTTTACCAACTTAGTCAAATACTCTTAACTGATGTGATGTGGGCCACAAGCAAATGGTCAAGAGAGAATTCTTGAGACATTTTTGGTGCAAAAAGGTGTTTTTATTAAAGTACCAGGACAGTACCCGTGGGCAGGAAGAGTTATACCGGGATTGTGAAGAGCTATTGATTATGTACTTTTTAAAACAATTATTTATTTATTTATTTATTTATTTATTTATTTATTTATTTGACACAGAGAGAGATAGAGAGCGAGCACAAGCAGGGGGAGCAGCAGAGGGAGAGGGAGAAGCAGGCCCTCCACTGAGCAGGGAGCCCAATGGGGGGCTTGATCCCAGGGCACTGGGATCATGACCTGAGCCACCCAGGTGCCCTGATTATATACTTTTAAGTTAAGGGTGAGGGGTAAAGACAAAAGAAGTTTCCAAAAGGATTTTCACATGCTAAGGAAGACTTACAGGATCCTGGAGGCCTAGGCTACTGTTAAGCCTCTAGCAAAGCATTAACATTAAGACAGTTGTGAGTTCCTGGAGGAATGTCTCACTCTGCCTGTCTCAAGTATTTGTCAAAGGGCTGCAAGTTGTAAGGAAATTAATTCTATCCACATTTCTTTTGCCTTTTTTCTCCACATCATTACATCTACCCATTTATATTGTAAGTCTGAGATCCATTTCACTTTTTTGAAATTGGAACCACTACCTAATGTGTTAGGTTCTCCAATATGCCAAACTATGCAAACATTACAAGGACTTTTGATAACAGTCATAAACTGGATATTCTTAAACCTCACCTTAAACACAAAGAGAACACTATGGCAGCAGGGAACTCTAGGTCCATCCCTTCAGATGGGACTGTTTGGGACCCCGTGTCCCCTGCATTCAGTTCTTTCATAATCTTTCATTCGTACCTCCTGTTTTGGGTAAAATTCTATAGCACATACTAGCATGCCGCTCCAACGGATTGGATTCATCGAATTTGTTTCATTCCTGATTTCTGCATCTGGCTCCTGGCCACCAAGACAATTCGAATGACATTCCAAAGATGGAGAATCTTAATCCTGCGGTGTTTGGGAGCATGGGTGTGGCAGGCTAGAGCTAGATTTGAGTGAGTTCCAACTCTGCACTTAGTAGTTGGGTGTCCTTGGCTAAACCTGAGTTTCCTCTTGTACAATAGGCTAACAATCTCCATCTGAAAGGGCTGCTGTGAGGATTTAATGAGTGCAGTTTATATGGCAAGCTTTCTGTAAATAGTCATCTTCTTTTTCACCAGCATTTACTCAGCGACACTGCTTTGTTGCCTCTAGTTTTTGCTGCTTCTGTGATGAACATGATTGCCTCTTTTACATCTTTCCATGGCTCTGACAGTTCTCTTTCATCTCAATCTGTTGGTTTATCCGCTGTGACACGGAAATCAGGCTTTCTTTGATTTCCTTGGGAATGTGAAGCAGTTATTAACTGAAATTTTATTCTCTTTTCTCAAGAGAATCTTCCAATATCTTCTTACCATCTATGCTCTGCTCTGCTCTTTTTCCTGCTCTGTGCTTTTCCTTTTTTTTTTTCCTGTAGAAATTCTGTCTATCCGTTGTGCTGCTTTGTGTTCTGTTTACTCACCTCTGAGTAATAGGGCCCGATTTATCCTCACCTGATATTGTCCCAAAATAGTGTGGGTAGAAGCACTTTGACTCCCTTCCACATTTATGCAAGCGTCCCTTCATAAGGTCCACCCATGATGGAGTCCTGCATGCTGACGCCTTTTTTTTCTGTTTAGCCTCTGAGCCACCTAAAGAGGGTGTGGTAGAAGCGGTTCAGGGGCAGCCTTCCTCTAGGAGCTTTGTTTTTACCTTCTCTGAATGTGTTGAACATCTGTAACACGGATCAGCTCTAAAGAGGTGGGGGCATGTCTTGTTTCCTGGGTTTTTTTTAAAAAGATTTTTTATTTATTTATTTGAGACAGAGAGAATGAGAGACAGAGAGCACAAGAGGGAAGAGGGTCAGAGGGAGAAGCAGACTCCCCGCCGAGCAGGGGGAGCCCGATGCGGGACTCGATCCCGGGACTCCAGGATCATGACCTGAGCCGAAGGCAGTTGCTTAACCAACTGAGCCACCCAGGCGCCCCCTCCTGGGTTTTTGATCTGTCCTTCTGTTTTGGGGAGAGATAGCCACTTTGCTGAGAAAATTGGGCCTTTGTTTTCTGAGTCCCCAGGCATCTTCCTCCCAGGTCAGATCTGGTCCCTAGCTGTGGCCAAGTGGGCTTGCCTCCCAGCCTCACACCTCCCAGTCGAGGAAGCCTGGTCAGAGAAACAGTGCCATCGTGTGGCCACTCCGCATTCTCTCCAGGCAGGCTCCCACTTCAAGCCTGTGTGGAGTGTGGGTGGAGCTGGTGGGGTCAGAAACCAAAAGGGTGTCTCTCTTGTTCTTCCTGCCACCCTCCCATCCTCTGCCCCCCTCAGGGACTACAAGCCCCTCCAGGCTGGGGGCAGAGGACCTGTCAGGCCTTCAGAAGCTCCTCACAACCATGCCCAGAAAAGAGACTCATGACTTGGCTCCCTGGAGTTCTTCCTGCACCGGGTTTTGCCTTTATTCTAGGCCCTTTTTATTGTTGGAACTATCTGGAAAGATAGTTTTTGTAAATGTGATATAATGCCACATCTTCTTAAGAAATACTCTGGGAAAAACTGTGAGAAAGCAAAATGCATCTTAATTTCTCTCCATTTTTCTGTTCCCAGGCCTCTCCTCCCAGCCCACCTTTTGAGCTACACTGTCCCCATAACCTTGTCCGTATCCTACTGCAGGGCACATTCAGACTGTCCCATCTCTATATTAAAACCTGGGTCCTAAGTGTTCTTAGCTCAGGGCCTTGCTTTGCTCTGAGTTTCTGGACTCAGGATGATCAGGAGCTTACATTTCCGCCCCTTTCAGGACACAGGAGGATTTCAACTCTGGTCTTCTAGATTATAATAGCCAGGAGGAGCTGTCTGATGGCGAGAATTTCAAGCCCCAATTAAGGTGGGTGCTGGAGTTACTTGTGGATGTAGTAGGGTAGTATAATTTGATGGCCTGCAAGTCACCATGCTAGTGGCTACCTCGTCCAGTTACCCACAAGGCTAGTACACCTTGTCAGTGACCCCTTGGTGTCAAGCTGGACTTCTTTGAAGATTCCATCGATGAGGGCAAAAGAAGGGCAGTGATGGGCAAGAGGTGGTGAAATATTTGGTGCCCCCAAACTTCCTTCCTCCTTATTCCTCTGTTAGGTCCCTCGGGAGGGGAGCATTGAACCGGAAAATCTGGCACCCCACGACCTAGCACGTAGGAGCCACTCAAAAGTGTTTGCTGAACTTAATCCTAGGAGACAGCGTGCTCTCAGGAGCAAAAAACAAAACAAAACAAAACCCAGAAACGCCCCTGTGCCATTTCGGCGATGCCTCCCCCGGGCCGCGCGGCGGCGCTGTGGCTCCGCAGAGGCCGGGTGGTGCTGGGGCGCTCCGGGGCGCGCGGGCTTCCGGGGACCCTCAGAGCGGCGGCGGCGACGCGTGGGGCCGCGGCGGTGAGTGCGGCGTGCGGGCCTGGCGGCGGGTCGCCACCCCGGGCACGCCCCGCGCCCCCTGGGCCTCTCGCTCGGGGCCTGGGAAGGGCAGGCCGCGCCCGCCGAGCAGGCCCCCGAGGCGCCGCGCGGGTTCCCCGGGCGTGGGCGGCGGGCCCGCCCCGGGGAGGGCGAGGCAGCGTAGGGCTGGCCGTGCAGGGGTGCGCGCTCCCGCCGGGCCAGGAGGCGCCTCCCTGGCCCCGCTCCCGACTTGCCCGGGGACTCTGGGCACGTCCCTTCCCCTCCTCGGGGCCTGGCTCCTCATTTGTCAGAGGAGAGACCTTGGTCGCGATGCCTCTAAGACCTTTTCGGCACCGCCACTCGGGGTTGTGGGTGGGCCCGGGGTCTGTGCTCTGATCGCGCCGGGTCCGACTGCCCCGCAGGCTCTCTCACCTGTCACCCTGGCCCTTCTCTGCTTGGACGGCGTCTTCCTCTCCTCCGCCGAGAATGACTTTGTGCACCGCATCCAGGAGGAGCTGGACCGCTTTCTGCTGCAGAAACAGCTGTCAAAGTAAGCTGGAGTGCCGGGGGGTGGGGGCAGCTGCCTGTGCGGGAAGGGCGGGCTCACGCGGAGCCCCCTGTGCCCCCTTCCCAAGTAGCTGGTTCCTCCCTGCCTCTGATCTTGGCCTTTGGGTTTAATAACCTCCTAGCCACAGCCTCTCTCAGCCACATCTTCCCGGTGTAATTCTGAGCATCACCCAGAGATCGAAGGGTGTCAGCACAGGAGTGGAATGGTACCAGTAACTCCCTGTGATAACCTCTGTGCTCACGTCCTTTGCAGTCGGCGAGGGAGCCTAGTGTCAAGCCTCCTGTAAACTGGGCATGGACCTGGTGGGCGTCAGGCCCTAGGTCCCTGCTCAGCACTCATTCCCATCCCTTCCCAGGGTACTTCTTTTCCCCCCGCTCTCCAGTCGCCTCCGATACCTGATCCACAGGACAGCAGAGAATTTCGATCTTCTGAGCAGCTTCTCTGTTGGGGAGGGCTGGAAGAGAAGGACAGTTATCTGTCACTTGGATATCAGGTGTGTATCTTAGTGCCATGGGGGTCCTCAGTAGCTCCTTGTGGGTTGGTGGGTAAGCTGGTCAGGAACCAGGACAGGCTGCTTCCTCTGTCCCCACCTCAGCTGCTTAAAGTCAATGACGCCTTCTGTTTTAGCAGTGGAGTAGCTGTGCGTTGTTTGGGGGATTCATTCAGCAAATTTAACTATACACTTGGGCCGAAAGAGAGAAAAATAGAGCAGTTTAAGCAGTGAGAGTGCTTGCTCTGAGAGGCCATGGACTGTGAGAAGCACACTTGAGGCTCACGCATCTCTGTTACCATGTGCATCTCACAGGATCTTACCATAGCGGCTATGATCCTAGCGCTTCAAGTTATGTATTTTTCTTTTTTCTTTTTCTTTTTTTATTAGAGAGAGAGAGGGGGGCAGTGAGAGGGAGAGAGAGAATCCTAAGCAGGCTCTATGCTCAGCACAGAGCCCGATGTGGGGCTTGATCCCACAACCCTGAGATCGTGACCCCGAGTTCATGACCTGAGCAGAAATCGAGAGTTGGACGCTTAACCAACTGAGCCACCTAGACACCCCCAAAGTTGTATATTTTTCTAATAACCAGGTTCCTAAATGCAAGCACTTACTTTTATCTAGTGTGTACCCGAAGATTCAGCTATCTCTATGTAGTTGATAACACCAGAGGGAGAGCTGGTGTTTCTTCTTCAAAGTTGGCATTCAGCTTCCTCTGCAGTGCCTTCCTGTGGTCTTTCCACGGGTCATTTTGGCTTTGGTTTTGGCCTAATGCTGACTCGAGAGCCTCATGCCTGAATGGCAGGTAGCTCCAGTAAACCATTGTCCTTAACACTGCTCTGATCACACCTCCTGTTCCTGCTCCAGGTTACCCAGTTCAGATGGACTCTCTGGCCCCTGCCACCCTCCTGCCTCCCAGCTTAGCAAGTACCGAGGTCCCCGGCCCACCTCAAACCAAGGAGCACCTGCTGGTCCTCGAGGAGCATGGGCCGGCCGGTGGCATCGCGGACGCAAACCGGATCAGGCTTTGTATGTGCCCCGAGTACTGCGCAGGCAAGAAGAAGGGGTACCATCCTCTACCCCAGTGCCCCAGGGAGACCCTCCAGCTGGTGGGCTCCTGGAAGAGCCTGGAAATGTTGGTGCTGGGGACCTCAGCTCTGATCAGGACCTCCCTGTGTTGATGACTCAGGCACCTGAGGACCCAGAGGGCCCAGACCAACACTGTGACAATGAGCAGCTACTGGACCCACCTGGTGTTGAGTCCCCACAGCCTGAGAGCCACTCAGGGATGGGAGATGGGTTGGAGATGGCCACAAGGCTGGGGTGCAGCCTGCGGCTGGACTTGGAAGAGGGGAATGGGCATGAGGTGGAGAAGAGCCCGGAGGCAGAGGCGGAAGAGGCAGAGGTGGAAGAGGCAGAGGCGGAAGAGGAGGGGCCTGGCTCCGGCTCTGGGGACGATTACAGTGAGCTGCTTCAGGAGGTGATGAAGCTCTTAAGCCCAGAAAAGGGAGGGTGGAAGTGAGGTGGGTGTGGTCGCGGGCCGGTGGAGACCAAGGGTCCTGGCCAGGAAGGGCAGGGTGTGCACTGGCTGAGCAGGGCTGGGTGTTGGCTGATAGGGGTCCTTTAGGAGACGTAGGGGTGGAGCACTGGGACTTTCCTCAAGAAGTCGGGACTGACATAGTGGAGGGGACGAGGCTCTGGATATGGGGTCAGGGTGTGGATTTGGGTCCCTGTGCAATCATGTAGGAGCTTGTTGACAAGCTTCTCTATGGGCACGTCCTTTTGTTTTTCTAAATCTCCCATTTCCTCATCTGAGAAGCAGATAGTAATACTTTGCTTCACAAGGTAACAGGTAGGATATACGAGGAAATGCTTCGTAAGGGACTATAAGCCTGGGTCATGAGAATGGTTCTTCTGCCTGAGGCCTTGTGTTACAAATCTCCTTTCCTTGGAACGGTGTGTCTGTCCCCGAGACTGGCTGTGGTGTTCGGGTGGGAGGGTGGGCGTCTTTTATTACTATGTTATATGTGAAGGCTAAAGACCAGGTAGACTTGCTTAATGTCACATTGATGATAAGGGGAGGAAAGATCCTGGACTTGCCCAGTTCTGTCTCTTACTTGCTGACCATGTATCTTTGGGCAGAATTACTTAGCCCTTTGATATATAGTACTCCTATCTGCAAAGGGGGTGTATAGAGTATAGTTTTCAGGATTCTGTGGAACATAATGCATGTAAATGCCAGTTCCCCAATGGGGACTCCATAAAAGTAAGTTACCGTCCCTAAAAGTCCCACCTCTCCACCTTCTAGCCCATTCTGCCCTCCTCCTGCCATTCCCGGACTCCCGCCAGGTGTGGCTCCTGTGGGAAGCGGGAAGCCACTTGGGGTGCTCTGCTCCCTGCCGGGGAGTCCTGCTTCTCTCTTCAGGACTCTGTGTGTGGTTTTGAGAGCAGGTGTCCGAGCTCCCCTTGCTAAAGGGTGTGGTCTCTCCCAGATAACAGACAACCTGACTGAGAAGGAGATTCAGGTAGAGAAGATCCATGTGGACACGTCCTCCTTCGTGGAGGGGCTGCCTGGAGAGAAGGATTTCGCCCATGTGGTGGAGATCTATGACTTTGAGCCGACACTCAAGACTGAGGATCTGCTGGCCGCATTTTCCGAGTTCCAGTGAGTGCTCTCGAGGCTTCAGGGAGGCAGGGGAGGTGGGCGCTAGGACATCACTTTGTTGTTGGGCACACTTGCCTGCCGCTCCCCCAGTGTCTGCTGTCTGGAAGGAAGGGCAGAAAGTGGATGTGGTTGCCCTGCGCTCCATACTCCTGCTGGCCATGACTCCATGGTGGGCCCTAGATCTGGTCCTGCGGGCACGCGGCGGCAGACCTCCATCCTGCCCCCTGCACACCCACACGCCTGCCAGGAGCCGGGCCCCCGATCGGGATGCCTCCCCTTGCTCCACGTCCCGGTCACCCAGTCCGTCAGTCAGTCTACAGACTGAGGGCCATTCCCGTGCAAGAACTGTTTCTGGGGTGAGCTGGGCCTAAATGCCCTGGGGCAGAGTCAGGGTGGAGATGGGCACCAAGGGGGTATGTTGCAAGCAGAGAGTTCTGTTTCCCCAAATTTCTTGATCTAACTCCAATCTTTTCTCCTTTTTTTCCTTCCTCCCTCTCCCTTCCTTCCTTCTTCCCTCCCTCCCTTTCTTTTTTTAATGCTCATTTTCCTTTCTCCAGTCTCCTTTCTCTTTTCTGTGTAGTCTTTTATTTATTTATTTTTTAAAGATTCTGTTTTTAAGTAATCTCTACACCCAACATGGGGCTCGAACCCACAACCCTGAGATCCAGAGTCACATGCCTCACTGACAGCCAGCCAGGCGTTCCTCCAGCTTAGTTTTTTAAAAATCCCTTTCTTGGGGCGCCTGGGTGGTACAGTTGGTTAGATGTCCAACTCTTGGTTTCGGCTCAGGTCATGATCTCAGGGTGTTGAGATCGAGCCATGCGTCAGGCTCCACGCTTAGCATAGGGTCTGCTTGGGACTCTCTCTCCCTCTCCCTCTGCCCCTCCCCCTTGCTCTCTCAAATAAATAAAATGAAAATCTTTGAAAAAAATGAAAATAAAAAAATAAAGATCCCTTTCTTCATGGTCCCCTTTTCTGACTGCTTTCCAAACTGCCCTCCCGTGCCTCCCTGAGCCTGAGCCTGAGGAAGGCTGAAGGGGCAGCTTGGTGGGGCATGAGGGGCTCATCTGCTCTCGCTCCCTGAAGGTGCAGCCAAACTGGGGCCACCTGTGACTCGTTCAGCCAGCGCGGGCGATGCCCACAGAGAAACAGGGGCCTCAGACTGCTTTCGGCCTCTCATCAGCCCCAGACTCAGTGTGGCTTTCTTGAGCAGTAGGAAGAAAGCTGATCAGGAGCAGTAACACTGACAGGCTTATTTTAGGTTCTGCCCCCTGTCCCCAGCAGGTAAACCCTTTTGTCTTCACCTTTGGCACTGTGGTCTTTGAGCTCTTTGAGTCCGGTTTTCCTCAGTTCTAGGAATTTGGGACCCACCAGTCAACAGGGGTGACACTTGTCTTTCTGAAGCTAACCGTGTGGTCTTTGAGAAAGTTTGCTGCAAAGGGTTGTCTCCGCAGGGGAGATAGGAACTTGTTTTGGGCTCATAGTGTTGGAGGATTGGAGGTGGGAGGGGATTCCTTTTGCAGAAGGGGTTTTTGCCCCTTGCTTTTGTACTCACTCTGTCTCCTCTTCCTTGGCACAGAGAGAAGGGGCTCAGGATTCAGTGGGTAGATGATACGCACGCGCTCGGTGTCTTTCCCTGCCTGGCCTCAGGTAATGCAGCTTCACGGTGGGCTTGGCCCTTTCTCTGACTGCCGCTGACAAGGGAAGGTCACCCATGTGCGGGGTGCGGGCTCACCTGAGCAGGTGGACTGGCAGCCCGCGGCCCAGCCCGCCCGGTCCGGAAGTTCAGAGGCGGCAGAGTGGGGCGCTCGGGCCAGGCAGCTCACACCCTCTCCTGTTCATGGTAGTGCCTTCAGGTCAGAGTTTTCTGAGTCCGGTGATGTTTACTGAGCACATGTCATGGGCTGAGCTCTGGGTGCTTCTGCATGTGAAACAAAATCATATGAATGTGCTCTTTTTATGGGTAAAAAACCTTTAAAATACTGGCAATTTCATATGATTCAAACAGATGCATTTTATTCGGCTTTCACTGCAGCCTCAAGAAGTAGGTCAGACCTACTCTGAGACCGAGGTTTCCAGAATGTCAGCGGTCTGTCCCAGGTTACAGAGCGTCTTAGTGTCGAATCTGGGGATGTCGGCCAGCCCCCTGGCTGTGACCGCAGTGCTCCTTCCCCCTCTCGGCCACTCCCCAAGCCGCCCCTGCCCCACCGTGGCTCACTTTGGGTGTATTTATCAAGACCCCCGACCCCCTTGGCTGGACTTTCCATAACCACGAGCTTCTGAACACCAGAGCTGGAAGAGGCCATAGCTGGTGCGGGCCGAGTTCTCAGGGAGCCTGTGGCATTGAGGGAGCAGGAAGCTGGGGCGTGGGGGCTGCTGCAGGCCCCCTGAAGGAGCTGACTGAGGGCAGGCAAGGAGGATGACCACGGGGTGCCGTGGAGAGAATGAGCACTGGGTGTGGCATGGCCGTGGCTACCTCCTGAGCTCTGCCACGCTGTGTGTGAGGAGCAGGTCCTGTCGGGCCTTAGCATCCTCGTGGACGAAGGGGCGGCTTGCACCTGCAGCTCCAACCTGCTGTGTCCGGCAGTACGTACCTAGCCCAAGTACCCCATGGCCCCAGCACAGCTCCAGGCAGTGAGGGCATGGGCAGTGAGGGCATGCCCCGGGAGGGTCTTGAGTGGGGAAGGGGGAGAGTTTAGTCGAAGCTCCTGGGCTTTGGAAGGTGGGAGCCTGCCTTCCCTGATGTCCACGGTTGCAGCCTCGCTGGTGTGGCTCCTGACCGGCCCAGGGTAGAGCATGGAAGCTTCCCATCTGAGAGCACGGGTGCGGCGTGCAGGCCTGCGGGGCTCTGGGGGCATGAGGCGAACAGGTGGCGGTCGTCTCTTGCCCATTCGGAGTGGTGTCAGGGCAGCCATGTCCCCGAGCTTCAGATGGGTGCACAGAGCAGCTCCGTCAGTTTGGGGTGATACATGCGTTCCTTGGCCCTGACGGGGCCTCACCAGGAGGAACAGGGATGGCTCCAGGTCTGTTTTCTTTCCATAGCTGCTGAAGCCCTGACCAAGGATTTTTCTGTGCTCAAGATCCGGCCCCTCACGCAGGGAACCAAGCAGTCAAAGCTGAAAGCCTTGCAGAGGCCAAGTAAGGAGGCCGGCTATGTCCTGATGGGAAGGCTGTGTGAGCATATGAGTGGTTGGGTAGGGTGGGGCCTTCCCTCGAATTCATTGCTTGTTCTTCAGCTCTGCGCCTTAGGACCGCCGGGCTCCCGTGGCCAAAGGGGTGCTCCTCCCGCACCCCAGGGGCCCAGGGATGCCTAGGGAAGAAGGGCTCCATTAGGGAGAGCTGTTCGCCAGCCGCTGTGCTCTGGGCTTGCCCTCCTGTGCTTACCTCTTCTGGGTGTTGCTCAGGGAAAAGCTCAGTCTTTCCTGTAGGGCCATAGAAACCATATTTTACAGTGGGGTAAAAAGAGCTTGGATTTTGGGGTCAGCCCTGGGTGTGATCCCGCTTCTGGCACCTATTTAAGTTGACCTTGAGCAAGTCACCTAACGTCAGTGAGCTGGTTCTTCTCTCTGTAGAATAAGCAGATTGTACCAGGTAGACTGGAGGGGTGAATAAAACAGCCTGGCACACAGAAGGTGCCAAATAAATGATAGCTCCTTTTTCCTCTTGTTCTTCCCGAAAGCGTGGTTGGGGGTGTTAGAGGCCAGTTTTCCGTGGCTGCACAGTGGCTGGCGAGACTGGCTCAGAAGAGGCCTGCTGAGGCCATCCGATGTCCTTGTGGCCCTTGTGGCCCTTGTGGCCTTTGCCTCAGACTTGAGGACAGTAAATTTCCTGTCAGTCCAAGAGCTCTGGGTGTCCCATCTTGACTTGATTTCCCTCCCAGGTGGCCCAGACAGGGAAGAGGGAGAGGTGGCAGGATTAGGCGAGGACTCCACGGGCATCTGGCCATGCTGTGGGCACAGCTGGGTCTTAGAGGTTGGCTCTCCGCTGGGAAGAGTGGTGGCCATAGCTTTGAATTCAAGTCCTCATCCCATGGGGCTTTCCTTTTAGAGCTCCTGCGTCTGGCGAAGGCGAGACCACAGACAAATACAGCAGTGGCCAGGAGGCTGGTGGCCCGGGCCCTGGGGCTCCAACATAAGAAGAAAGAGCGGCCTGCAGTTGAGTGTCTACCTCCCTGAGGCCCTGAGAGGCCCAGCAAGCCTGGATTGGCGCCCGCAGGACTAGGCTGGTGCCTCAACACCACAAGCCTTTACGGACACCAGAATAGCCCTGTGCGGTTTGCTAGGGTGTCCCTATGGGGCGTGGTGGGCTTTCGTTTGGTTTAGTTGCAGGAGTTGAACTCGAAAAAATAAAAACTTGAAAGTTGCTTCAGAATGAAATGGTCTGCCAGGGAACACTAGGGGGTGCTGTTTGTCTCCCACTTTAGACCTGGGGCTGCTGAAGAAATGGGTCCTCCAGGTTGGCCTGGAGGATCCCAGCAGGGCCTCAAAGGCATTTTTGCCCAGGGTTTACCCAGTTTTGGGGTGGGGGGAGCAGGTTGCCCCTGTGGTGTGTGACACCTGCCTGGTCTCCTGACACGTCAGGCATCCTAACCTGCTGTCACGTGCTGCAGGGCACCAACCGTTGGACCTGGTCCCAGTGTTACCTGCTGCTGTGGGTCACAGAAGGCCTTTTGTGCACTTCGGTAACCATGAACAAAGCCAAGAGGCAACCCCTGAGACGGCCGCTGAATTTGACTCCCTCACAGGGACAAGGGCATCTTCGGGGACAAGGTCTCGGGTCACTCGTGTTTCTGGTTTGGGTGAAATCGGTGCCCAGGCGGCCCTCCTTGGTGCTCTGGGGTCATGGTGGACCCTTCCGGTTTGCTGGGCCGCAGCATGCTCTTGAGACAAGGGGAGCCCCCATGCCCGGGTGAGAGCGGCCCGCCCTGGCCGCCCACCCTGCCCGCGCTGGGAAGAGCTCGCCCTGCTGGTGCTGGTGTGCACGCCTCGCGTCACCGCCCCCCTCAGAGTCCGGCCGGCCGCCGGCCTTGTGGGCGCCTCCCAGGACGGTTTACATCTGGGTGTCCCATCTTGTCCTCATACCGCTGCCGTGCTCCACAGACTCACGAAGAACACGAGTTAAGGAAGGGTCAGGACTTGCGTTTTTGTGACCTCCTTAGACTGCTGCTGTCGGAAGGCAGGAGTCCAGTCCGTCTTTGTGGTGGCTACTGCAGGCGCCCCGGGAACCCGTCTCTGCAGCGCGAACCTGAGAGGGTGTGCAAGGCTCCCTCCCCGCCCACCATCCGCGGGAGCTCTGCTGCTCAGGGCTGGGTGCAGGGGCCCAAATGAAACACAGATGCGTATCATAAACCTTTTATTCCAAGTTTCAAGTATGTGTAAGTGTCTGTGATGACACATGGCGCTCGGTGGGTGTCCTCATCACCCAGGACCCTGGTTATAGCACCGTTAAATCAGTTACCCACAGAACTGGAACAACAGAAAGATGAGTCACTTACACGGCTGGGTTGGTTTTTCTTTTGAGCTATACTTTCAGAGGCCCAGAGGCCCAATATTAAATGCCACTAAATTACTTCGTGTTTCAAAGTCTGTGAAAATATAGTAATGGTATCTTGTAAGAGGATTTAGGAGGGGGGAGGGAAAGCACCAACTCTGAGCTCACCTAAGTAGAAAACACGTGGCAGCATTATTTGTGTATGTGAATATAACAGAGTAGAGGCAGTCTGTTTCATTGGAAGAGAGGTCTAGATATTCAGGTTGTCTGGAAATGACCTAGCGGGAGGAAAAATGGAATTCAGCCTGACCGCCTTGGGTGGATAGCTCCCACCACCAACATGGCATTTTATCTGTCGTGAGTTGAGTGGGGTGGTGTCCTACTCAGGGTGGCCCGTGGTTTCGGCAGGACAGACTGCTGCTCACTGTGCTCCTGGGGTCCCAGACAAGATGGCTCTTGGTGCCCAGGACCCTGTTGTCAGGCCCCACCCTGGAGGTCTTCCCAGGTCGTCCCAGGCTCCAGAGGTCAGGCAGCAGCCCCCAGCAGATGACGGGCATGCCGTGTCCCCCCGAGGCTTGGACATGGCCGCCGGGGGTCGGGACAGGGCAGGGGCTGGGCTGGACGAGGGGGGAGGGTGGCCATCCGTCAGACTGCAGTTGTCGGGGAAGATGCGCCGTGGCCTGAAGACAGGAGGTGACCTGGTGCTTTACCGTGCGGAGAGCTGGTTATTTATGAGTCCACTGAAGTGTTCAAACTTTTTTTCCGTCTCTTCACTGAAGGAACCACCTGAGGGGTGGGCATGGGGGAGACAGAGTTTGGCAAACCAGATGCTCAGCCTTCTCCCACACTGGAGCTGTCAGCCTCGGGGGCCCTGGAGCCACCGCCGTCCACCAGGCGGCCTGCTGGGGCCACCTCTGTGTGACGCCCCGAGGGCGGCCACTAGGTGCTGGCCACCCCGAGGGCCACGCATGGGTCAGGTGCTCTGTCGGAGCTGAGCGAAGGCATGGCTAACCCTGGCGAGTTTAGTTTTTGCCAGCAAGGGAGGGGGGCCATCGCTTTTCCTGCAGGAGAGGAAGCCCTACTTGCCCTTTTGTTCCCCAGTGTGCATGATGCAAGGAAAAGTTTCTTTATTGGCGACCAGGAGCCACAGTTGTTGACTAACTTCTAGTTCTCAACAGAGGGAAACGATACACAGAACCCACAAATTGCTGACGCCCACGTTTGAGGTCACAGGCGTAGCGAGGAGATGGCCTCAGCTCCAGCCCGGCAGGGTGCCGCCCTCCTCCTTGGCCAGAGCTGGCTGCGAAAACCCAGCCTCCATCCAGGCCTTATGTGTCTACAGCTTCCTTCCTGTGTGTGCAAACGGGCGGCTGGCTCCAGTCCCCGCGCTCTACCCAGATTAGGAGGCTGTTCGGATTTCTCGACAAAGCAGGGCAATTCTTGCCTGTCTCCCGGACGGGTGGGCTGCAGGGGGTACCTGGCAGGCCTGGGGGGCTCCCAGGGCCTTACCTATGTGGCAGTTGTACATCCAGATGCGGTGGCCGTCGTAGCGGGTCCTGCACTTCATGATGTTGTTGCTGTAGTCAGACTCCGCGACCTCGTAGTTGGGGTTAATGACGACCTGGGAGCGAGAAAGATCGGAGTGGGCTGCTGAGTCCTGCCGGGGCCCGGACCCCGCCGAGACCAGCCCTGCCTCCAGAGCGGGGGCGACCTCATGAGAGGGAGCATGGCTGGTGCTGGGGCAGGACTGGCCCGAGATGAAGGGGCGAGGCCCAGCGGCATGAGAGTGTGCGCCCCGGCCGTCGGCCTCTGTGTGGTTCACACACATACCCCTTCCCACAAGGAGGCCTTCGTAAAGGGGTTACCCTCTCCTGGGGGCCCTCGGAGGCTTGAGGTTAGTAGAGGCAGGAGTTGGGGCCCAGGGAGGCCACAAAAAAGGCTGTTGATAGGAACTAGAAGGGAGCTGGGGAGCAGGACGTGCTGAGATGAGGTGGGGACAAGGACCAGGCTCTCTGCTCCTGGAGGTGTGACGTCACACATGCCCTGCCTCTGAGCCTTTGCCCGCAGGCCCCTCTGCCTGGAAGGCCACTTCTTCCTCACCCGGCTCTCTCCCGCCCCTGGCAGCGTTACTGATGTCTGCACACGGAGCCACGTGGGAACGGAGAGGCTCAGTGAATCCCAGGCCAGGGCTCTCAAACAGCTAAAGCTCCGAGTCTGGCCCAAGGGAAATACTCTTTTCCTTAATCTGAGGCACTGACACACTCCTATTGAGTTAATTAGTGAATTGTATAGTTCAGGCGTCAGGGACACAAATGTGATCAGGGTTTGCCCGGCTGTGAAATGGGAGTACTGGTAGAGCCCATCCCTGGGGGGCTACCTGCGTTCACAGGGTTTAGGCACGGCCAGGCCTGGCATCAAGCTTTCAATGAGCCACCGTTAAATAGATGGCATTTGTCAGGACCCAAGATGATACCCATTCACCCGGCAGAGTGATAGCAGACCTCACACACAAACCCCCATGCACCGTGTACGTGCACAGAGACATGGATATTCAGGTTTTAAAATAAAGAGCACTTTGGTTGGGCCTCTCCAAGTCTGCGGTTTGGGGTTTGTGGGTGGAAAAGTGCTTGGCTGTCTGATTTCCAGCCTAGGAAGACTTTCAAAGCCTCTCTGTGGTCACTTCTCTGCAGGTGTTGGTTCTTCCCAGGGCCGTCTGCAGGGTGGCAACCATGGGCCAGGCTCTGGGCTGGCTGAATGCCCCCTTGGGCAAGTTTTCAAGGCAGAATGACACATTTCTGGTCACCTACTTTGCCACCCAGCGGGGCCAGCTCGAAAGCAAGCCGGGTGGCTGTGTAGGAACGTGACAGGGCGCCAGGGAGCCTCCGCAGGCCCGAGTGCACCTGTGGTCCCGACGGGGAGGCTGGGGATGCGGCGGCCCTGCTCCCATGGCTGGAACGGGCCACTGTGTCTGCAGGGAGGCAGGAGAACTGTCCCCTCTGCAGACCCTTGCACGAGGCCAACTCTTCTGGGAGACCCAAGTCACAAACACTTGCGAGTGAATGGCTCTTCATGAGATTGCTTTCAGCCTTGACAGCACAGACGGGAGAGGGCACCGGGAGAGGTGTGGGGGAGGGCAGAGCCTGTGTCAAAGGACACGCAGGCGTGGGGTGCCCTAGGGTCTGAGGACCAGATCTGGCTGCACATGTATTTTGATTTGCAAGTGCCAGGTGTTAACTGAGTGCGGATGTCTCGGGAGGTTGGCAGTGCTCCGCATGCGTGCATGCCTCCCACACCTAGGTCACCTGGTTGACCCTGATGTGCCGGCCCCTGGGTGCAGGACTCCTGCACTTCAGACAGCCTGGCCTCCCTGCACGCGTTTTGTGTTTGGACACCAGCAGGAAGGGGGCTGCCTCCCACATCACCAGGGAATAGGGCCCTCCTGCCATCAGCCGGGGCTGGAACCCCCTCCTACCTGGAACAGGTAGTCTCCAGGGGGTACATCGGTGATGTCGACCCACTGGCAGTCGATGTCGTGGCGATACATGTCCCAGCAGCCCATGGTGATGCCCTGCTCACCAAAGTTGGCACACTCGTAACTCTTCTGGATGTCTGCAGGCAGGGGCACAGAGAAGACCGGTCACCTTGCACCCTGGCCCCACTGCCTCAAGTGCCTGCCCTCTGCGCTCCCCTTCTGCCACCGCACCCCGAGAAGCCCCACCGGGGGGTGCTGTCCCTAGAACCCACGCTCAGCAAATCTCTTCCTTCCCCCAAGCCCTCAACTCTCTGCTTCATCTGGGCTTGGCGTCCCATCCCCACCGCATGGGTTTCCGATCCGTTCTCATGTCCCCGGAACCCCTTGCCGGATTCTCTACCCACATCCCACCCGTCCTTTTAGGGCCAGCCGAGTGCCCCTCTTCCACAAAGCCCTCCTGGCCACTCTGGCATTCCCGCTAGCTTGGGAATGAAGGGAGTGTGATTTGGGAAAGCTCTGGTGGTTAATACTTAGCTTACTGTGGGGGGTCATCTTGCCACCCTCTGGCGAGTCAGCACTTGGATGTGGGCTCAGATCTGGTTTGTGTATCTGACCCTTACTGGGTCAGCTGGTCGTCTGGCACAGAGTAGGTGCTCAAAACCCATGGGTCTGTGTGATCTCATGGCGTGGCATGTCCACGACTGACTAGTGAACACACATTTACTGAGGCTGCCACGTGTGGGCACTGCTCGAAGCACGGGGCATATGGGGAAGCAGCACTGTGTCGCCCTGAGCCCCAGGCAGGTCGGGCGGCAGGCGGGCCCACTGGTGATCACCGTGCAGCTGTGGCGGCCTCCGAGACGTGTGAGCAGAGTGCTGCCTCTGTCTGGGGGCGTCGAGAGACCCGGGAACCTCAGAGCGGGTCTTTTGGGCTTGACTCGGGGGGCATGAGCCTGTGGGGCGGGGGCTTGATGCTGGGACACAGGGAGAGAGGCGGAGGGGACGGCGGGCCAGGTTTGGCCCCACCTGGGGGCCATGTGGACCCGCCAGTGCCCCCCGGCATGACTCGGGGGGATCCAGCACCTCCACAGCAGGCCCCGCCCGCAAGCCCAGCCCCGAGTATAGCCACGGAGGGCCCTGAGGAGAGTCAGCCGTGGCCAGCGTGAGAGTCCGGCATCAGGCCTGGGCTCCAGGACAGGTGGGAGCATGGGAGTCCCTCTGAAGCCACCCACCCAAAGATACCTCCTTCACATTCTGTGTCCTCCAAGCAGAAGCTGGCTTTGTGGCCCTCGGCCACCTTGGTACCATTGAGGTTCAAGAGGTCATAGTGGGTGAACACTTCCATGCTGTGGTAGTGCCTGGAGCGAGCGAGAGAGACAGAGACAGAGGGCCCAGAGGTCAGCGACCGGAGCCGTGCCGCCGACCAGCAGCTGCCTCGAGCGGGGCGTCCAAAGGGGTGGCCCGTTCAAGACGAGTGGGTGACGGCCTGAGGAACGGGAGGGCAGAAGCAGAAGCCGTAACCGTGCTGCCCCCCGCCAGAGGCCCTCGCCCGCGCAGGCCTCGGCCCTCCCAGCGGCTGAGCGGAAACGAGCCTGCACGGAGCGCCCTGGGCCTTGTGGGGGTTAGCGAGGCGCGCTGGGGGGCAGAGGGCCCGCCAGGCCGTGCACGCCATCCATGAAGAGCTCCTTAGTGCTTTTTCTAACCCCCTGGGCGCTGGGGTGGTCCTCCCAGCCCATCCCTATTTGGTACACTTCCTGCAGACTGATGAAAGTGACTTTCTGAGATCTCCGGAAACTTTCTGAAGTGGGGATGTGGTGGGGACGGCACGTCGAGGAGGGGGAAGGCGGGAAGAGCGGGCACGGGAGAGGCAGGGGGTATCCGGGCAAGACCCTCCCACAGCCCGGACTCGAGGCAGGGAGGCCCCGGGCCACGGCACCAGCTGGGAAGCGGGCGGCAGGAGTCTGTGCCCCTCGCCTGGGATGCGACAGAAGGGGCAAAGGGGGCTCTCAGTCCCTTGGGAAGGAGCAGAGCGTGGCAGGCGCATCCCTGTGGGCTCGGGGTGACAGCAGAGGAGGGTGCGCTCTTGTGTAACAGTGTTCCATCTCTTGCTCCCGAGGAATTGAGAACAGATGCAGGTTCTTGGAAAGCGGTGCTGTGTTTGGTTCAGAATAAACCAGGGGAAGATGGCTGCCATGTGGGCCGGGGCCTCCCTGAGGCACCGGGCGGGCCAGGCCCAGCCAGAGCTGCAACGTGGGTATCACCTGCGCGTGCGACTGCTTGAACACGCTTGTCTCCGGCATCACAGGGACATGCGGCAAGTGGAGAATAGAAATACAGGGCACCCAAGGCTCGGGGAGCAAAACTAGCGGAGCTTCTTCCTCAGGAAAGAGGGGATGATCACAGGACCCACTCTTAGGGGTCCCAGAAGGATGGAATCAGAGAAACCACAGAAAGAGCTCCCAGGGGGCTTGGAACAGAGGGGTACTCAGCACCTGCCAACTCTCTCGTTGGTACTCCTGCTAACGGTAGTACCACGGGTAGTATTTTCATAAGCACCGCCATCGCTACTCTGCTGCTACCATTCCCAGCCTTCCTCCATCCCCAGGCCTCCCGGGGCCGGCCTCAGGCTCCCTCCAACGGAGTAGGGGCAGTCAGGACAGCGGCAAGGGGGGGGATTAAAACGATAGGTTCTCGGAGAGGAAATCAGAGGCTCTTTCCCCCTTCCTCCTATGTTGGCTTGTGCTAAAAATAATGTCAGGAGTTCCTAACGGGCTTTTCCCAGGTTGCTCATGTCTCTGGGTAAAGCGATGCTGAGCCAGGGGCCCCCTGAGAACACTCACAAGGATACATTTTGTGGCAAGTCAAAGTGATGACTTTGAATGCGTCTATTTTGGCTTCTCGAAGGAGCAGGATGAGACATGAGGTCTGACTCACTGCGTAAAACATGTCTGCATCTTTCAGAGAGGGGTTTATGTTACCATGTTTACTGGCTGGAAAGACTGAAGAGAAATGGGTTTATACTTCGTTGTCTAAACAAAATTCAGACAGAGTCCACAGAGGGACTGTTGTAAGGCTGACCTTCTCCTGCTCCTCCTGCTTCCTGCAGACTTGATTTAAGAGTCTTCCCTAGCTCTTCAGTTTTTCCCCTGTGAACACGAGGAGGGAAAGAGCTGGTTTGGAGCCTCTTGATTCCAGCTGGCTGCAGTCCTGGAGCTCCCGTGTTTTACCTCTGGGACAGGTGTGGACATCACCCCCGGGGCCACGTCCCCCTCCCCGCTGGCTGGCTGTAGAGGCGAGGCACCCCTGCCCCCCATGCCCCCAGGAAATACAGATGGGGCCCCCAGGAATGCAGGAAGGCACATATTGGTGATGAGGGTATACTTCCTCTTTCCACACTGAGGTGTCCCGACCTTTGGAAGTCTAAGAGGGGGCTGGGTCCATGGGCTAGGACCTAGGGAGATTACAACTTGGAAAGAAATGCCAGAACCTAAGGAGAGAGAGAGTAACCTGACACTTGGTGTAAGTCATTGTAATCTGGAGAAAAGGAAGGACGGCCTTCTACCACAAGACTCTGGAGCTCAGTATTCTAAGACATGGTGTCAGTGGAAGGAGGAGATGAGGAATACGTGGAAAACAGACCAAGTGAGTCCAGAGGAGGACGGCAGGGTTGGGTATACCCTTTGTTATCCCAGGTCACTTGGGGCCCACATAAAACTGAATCAGAGAGTCAGTGTGCACTGTAGATGCTGTCACCTTTCATCCTCTGGTGCCTCCAGAATGGACGTCCTGGCTGATGCTCAGCTGCACTGGGGACAATGCTCCTGTTCCCATTGCCGAGAATACGGGGGCTGTGTTCCAGGCTCAGGAGGTGCTGTCATGAAGGGCGAGGGTCTTCTGCTTGCTCCATCCCACCTTCCCCACGTGCTGGGAGCCCTCCGGCCAGAACAAAGCCCTACGGATGTGACGAGGGCCTAAAATTGGCTCCCAGAGGCCACATCGCATCTGTGGCGCTTTGATCCAACATGGAGCCTGCTCTGCACGTGGTGGAAGCCGGGCAGAGTAAACGGAAGTCTCCCCTTTGTAGCAGGGCTGTCCCCAGCTCGCTAGGGGGGCACCTGTGCCGGGCACCTGCTTGCCAGCTCCCAGCGCCTCTTGTGGGGCTGCCTGTGCTGCGAGGGCTCGTCTCCAGACCACAGCAGGGACAGAGCTGCTCTGTGCCCCGCTCCGTCTGGACCCTGTCGGACCTGTGACATGACATGCCAGTTAAACAGGTGTGGCCCCGCTCCCTGGGCCACAGGTAGGGTCATCGACCAAGGGCATGATGCATATGGGAGAGGACAACTCGGCATTTTCCTCTATGTCTGGTTGGCAAGGAAGGTGCTAAGGGGTTCAGTCTTTAGGTTTCATGTGAAGGCTTTCAAAGAACACAGTTCTGTTCCTCATCTTGGCATTAATTGCTTTGGGAATGATAATTATCCCCATGCACACTCATTTGAGCCAGGGTTCTCAACTTTGGCTCCACAGTCAGTAAATCTGCTGAAAGAGGATGGTTAATCTTCTAGAAAGAATTTTTTTTTTTTTGGAGTGGGAGAAGGGCTTGCTTTCATCAGACTCCCAAAGGGGCCCAACCGAGGTTTGGGGCCAGAAGTCTGATTGAAAGGTCCTCCTACAGAGCTTGGAGATGTCCCCTGGAGCTCTGGAGGCTCCGGGCAGGGGGTAGGGGGACCCTCTTATGCTCCCTGAGATCTCATGGTCATAGGTTCTCAGTTATGGACAAGGAAGAGGTGGCTTGAAGGAACATATGCTTGGCCAGCATGTTTTTTCCATCCATTCCTCCCAAACCACCGACTAGAACATCTGTAAGCAAAGAAATGAAACAGGACGACAGGAAAAGCAGGGGGTGGGGTGGGGAAGAGATCAGAATGCCCAGGGCTCCAGATCAGAAGAAACACTTCCATGGTGTTGCCATGTGTACTCTTAGAGGACAGACCACTGCTTGGAGAGCTAGCAGATGTCCCACAGAGACTCCCACCATGTAATGTCTGGGTGGACAGCCACGTGTGGGACAGAGATGCAATTATGTCCAACTTACAGTGGGCAGCACCAGCCCCCACAGCCCCAGGGCTCCCACCCATCTGTTCTCTAAGGAAATCTGGCACCAGTCTGGTCATAACTTTAATTTTACTCTCCGACATCCACCCTGCAGAAGGCTGACATGCTTCTATATAGAGACCAAAAATTCTTTGGCTAATTAGGACATTCAAAACATATGGATAATAATTATGAAGGAAAATCAACACCGTAAGTTCTATCCTAGTCTTTTCTTTTGAAACAGATTTAACAGTTCTATCACTACACCGATTTGAATGTGACTGGACCATCCATTGTGACACGCAGAAGCAGGCAAGGACAGATTTCTGATGAAGATTCAGCAGAGGTAACAGAAAGAGCACTCGCTTTGGAGTCAGACACGAGCTGGGGATCCCTGCCTGGCAACTTCCTGTTGGACTTTCTGGAAAAGTCATATAAACACCGAGTCTCCCATTCCCTTACCCTTGAAAATGTACCTGACACTTAGAAGGGGGTCAATAAATGTCAGTTCTTGTGCCTCTCACAGTGGTCACTAGGTTTTCCAGCTGGAAGGATGCCTAGTCCTAGCTGGGCCGGGGCTTCTCCGACTTGAATGTCACACGCACACAATCACCTGGTGATCCTGTCAAAATGCAGATTCTGATGCAAAGGTCTGCAACAGGCTGACTCTGCCAGCCCACGGGCCTCCCTGTGAGAAGCAGGGAGCTCTGTTGCAGAGATGGAGGGCTTCCAGGGGGAGCGCTCACTGTGGACCCCTTGGGGGCTTGCTGCCCTGTTGCATGGCAGGGCCTCCCCCCTTCATTTTCAAAAGTGTGCTCTCTTCTGCTGTTCTCTCTACCTGCCCAAGTCAGGTCCCAGCAGGAAAATGTGAACAAGCTAGGGCAGTGGGCTCTGCACTAGAGTAAGAATCAAGGCAAAGAAAAAGAAAAGACAAGGCAAGGAGATGAATGGGGTGGCTTCTGTTGAGCTAGGGCTGGCTCTAGGATTTCTGTTCTTGTGTAGAATTTATAGCACTGGGGCCAAGTCCACAGGCTGAGGGCTGGCAGGGACTCTGGAGGTTCCAGGTGATGTGGCCCAGATGGCCTGACATCACGCAGCTGGTTAGAGGCACAGCTGGGTTGAGAGACCAGGTCTCATGACTACTGGGCCTAGAACTCTTGCCTCCACACCCAATACCTTCCTCGAGATATTTCACATATATATATATTTTAAGGATATTTTTAAAAAGATTTTATTTATTTATTCAGAGAGAGAGAGAGAGAGAGAAAGCACAAGCAGTGGGAGTGGGAGAGGGAGAAGCAGACTCCCCACTGAGCAGGGAGCCCGACGCGGGGCCCAATCCCAGGACCCTGGGATCATGACCTGAGCCAAAGGCAGACACTTAACCAAATGAGCCACCCAGGCGCCCCTCAAATATATCTATAAATGAACTCAGAGTCCAAAAACTGCAGAATCCCCAAGTACCCTGCAGAGCATGAACTTGCCGTAGATGCACTTGAAAACCATCGACCAAAGGGTCAGTAGAGAGACATCGGGTACTCCAAGTTTGTTTCCTAACATTAGGCACCGGAGGCAAGAAAGAGACCAGGCTCGGGGAAGGTGAGTGGGGCCGGGGCAGCCGGGACTGGAGAATGGCTCAGTAAATGTGGAAGGCCACTGTGGCGACCCGGACTCCCTGCCTCCTGGGTGTGTGGCCTCTCGGCTGTCTCAGAGGGAGCCTGCGATTCTGAATCCCATGCAGGCCCTGCAGCGTGTCAGGCCAGCGTGGCCGGCGGGTGATGCAGGAGGGCTCACCTGTGACAATCGTGCCAGATCCACGCATGGCGGCCATTCTTGGGTCGGAAGTCAGACTGCCCGTTGTTGTGGATCTGGGAGGAGAAGCGCAGAAGGCGTCGGTAGCCTGTGGTGGGGTTGGTCTGGGCGGCCGAGGCTGAGAGGCAGTTCTCCTCCATGGCACACTGGAGCATGAACATGGGACGGTCCTCCAGGTAGGTGCTCTGCTGGACGATCTCCGCATTGAGGACCAGGTCAGGGGCAGCTGGGGAGGGCAGACACGATGTTCAAACAAGACGAGAGGCCCTCTCACCCCTCCCAAGTCTTTTGCTTCTGACACCTGAGCTGGGACAAACCCCCAATCCTGCCTAGCACCACCAGCTGGGATTGTCTCCTGGTCTCTCAAGGTCCCCTTCCTTGAGGAATGCTACCCCAAATTCCTCTTCCCCTCCTCTAAGCGTCCTCTTGGACAGCTCTACAGCTGTCAGTGCAAAATGATGGGCAAAACATGAGGGTTCATTATATTGTGATCTCTACTCTTGGGTGGCTGGAGATTTTCTGTAATAAAAAACAAACAATAGCAATAATATTGTGCCTCCTGGAGAGAAAGCACCAGGAATGCCTTGGTCTGATCCTTCTGGGAAGGATACACATACAGTTTACGACACGTGTGATACTGTATGTAGATTTACAGTTTGCTAATACCGTTTCCCTTAAAATATATCTTGACATATTTCCTTGCTAATAAATATCCATTACCACATGTATTTCATGGCTACATAATGTTGAATTCATAACCCTATCTCATATTTTTAGATACACTGGTTGCTTGCCATTTCTCACCGTTAAAGATTAAAGCTGTGATAAACATCCTGTAGTAAATCTGTGTATGAAACTTAAGTTATTTCTTTAGAACACGTTTCTAGAAGTAAAATTGCTGGGCAGAAGGGCTGCATGTTCTCAAGACACACTTGTAGCCCCTGGGGCCGGCAGCCTCTAGAGAGCAAATCCACCTGCAGGGTTTGGACGTGGAACTGAAGAGTCTGAAGGGGACACACAGATGAGATGTGGGGTAGGGAGTAGAAGACACCAGTTAGAGGGCTCTCAATTGCTGAGAAATACTTCGTCTTGGAGGACACACACCAGAAAGCAGCATCGCCGGTGCTCAGTGTCCTGGGCACACTTTTATTGGAGGGGGTGATGGGTCTCTTATTCATTGTCTATACCCTAGTCAGTACTTAATGGACAGCCCCTCTGCTTATGTCTGAGCTGAGCGAATGGGTCTCCATTGCTCTCTCTTCTGAGAGGAGACCAGCCTAGCTCCAGCTCTGGAGTCTGAACATAACAATGGTCTGCAGTGAGCTGGTAGCCTGGGAGCTGTGTTCTCAGCACCTGCCATGCAACGGAGCCTTGACCTCCCTAACATCCAAAATATCCACCAGAAGCTCATTGGAAGCATGCATTCATCCACCCGTCTGCCAAGTATTCTAGTAAACCCTGCCCTAGGCTCTCTGGACAGTGCTGAACAAGGTAGACCCTACATTGTCGCAGGAGAGACAGACAGAAGCCCATCTTAATTACTTAATTACAGTTGTGATCAGAGCTAGAAGGGGAAATATGGAGGGAGTTGGAAATTATAACCGAGGGACCCAGTTGGGCAGGGGGCGGAGGTCAGGAAGGATTTCCCCGGAGGCAGTTAGGTTTTAGTTTCTCCCTGGAAGGAGGAGCAGGGATTACAGGAAGTAGCTCTACAAGGCTAAGTAGCATGGCCAGTCCCCTCAGGCATGAAGGAGCACCAAAACCTGTGTGGCTGGGCCAGCGAGGAGGGGTGCGAGGTGGACGGTGGCCCCAAATGAGGCTGGACAACACGTGCCTTGTGCAAGTCCCTGCATTCACCTAAAGTGCTGCGGGAAAGCCTGGACGGGTTTGCTAACAGGATGGAGGTGGGAGTGGGAGACCAGCATTGATTCTGGCTTCGGGGAGGGGGAGCAATCGAAGGGACACGTGTCACTGTGGGGATCCCGTGGAGGAGTGTCTGCACAAATACAGTCTGGAAGAATGGCATCTGGGCACGGGCCGAGGAAGCCGGAGGGAAGGAGGTAGAGGGAGTCGAGAAAACACGGAAAGGTAACAATAAAGATGGATTGTGTATGGTGGGGTGGGGGGTGGGTCAGGAGGGAGAGAGAGAGAGAAAGGAAGACTTGCAGATACAGGGTGGAACTGGTTGGATGAGAAAAAGTAATTACGAAGGGTGGCCTGAAGGATATACTTCATCTCTGAATACTCTTAACATGCATTAAGCCAGATCCGCCAAGAGCTGTGTTCCTGGCCCAAATGGCCACTGCCCCCGCTCCCGTAGTCACCCTGAGTGATGCCTTTAGACTAATTTGAGGGGTTCTCAGAGCCCCATGAAACTCATTTCTCACTTGCCATGAGGTGTCAAGGGCACTGTTTATCTCATAACTGTCTGTCTTCATGAGAAATTCCCTTTCCATCTCAGAATCTAGAACAGTGGGCTTCTCTAATCTCATGGGTGTGTTTCTACCTCATGGACATTGCAAATGACTTCCTTCTTTCCTTTGGCGGTTAGGAAGCTCGTGGTGAATTTTATGACCTCCCAACAGTAAATGTTTAGGACTCTATAGTATGTATTTTTTATTAACCTCTCTCTCATTTCCATTTTGAGCCACTACTTTTTGCCAGCCCTACTTTTCATGTCTGCTTTTCTCTTATGCTACCTTGAATTTTACTTAGGCTTATATTATGTTACTTTCCTCTTGGAAATGATGGTATATTACAAATATAAATTAAGAAGCAAAGAAAAGGCCCCGGACTGCTTCTCTCTGCTTGGATGTTCCTCCTGCGGAGGCCAGTAAGGGTGATGATCTCCTCCTCAGACAGGATGAATAGCTAGTGCTGTCCGCCCAGATGAGCTCACGCCAGGGTGGCCAGTCCCTCCTTACAAGGCTTAGAAAACACTGGGTGAGTCTAAAGGGGTCAGTGGGCGCATGAAGCTCACCAGCTCAGGTCTGACCTCCCCTAGCTCTCCATGACCATAAAAGGTGGTGCATCATTGTCTTCTCTGCACTTGTGCATATTCACTGTCACACTTAATTTCCATTGTCCAGGAAAAACAGTAACTAGAGATCAGAGTGGTTAACTAACTCTGCCAAGATCAGCTAATAAATGGCAGGTGCAGTCTGTTCTCAAGTTCTCTGGCCAGATCCGGGGCCTCTTACACCTCCCAGATTCACGAGGGAAAAGGCTAAGTGTCAGCTCAGCTCATGGCAGAGGCCCCAGAGCCTGGCCAGGAATAACCAGTGGGACTCTTGGTCCCCTCTTGGAGGCTGGCGGGGAGGAGGGATGTGACCCCCAGGGACTCTCACTTTCTGAGCAGGCGACTCCGGCCCCATACTGCACTGCGCCCTGGGGGCAGGCCACGTCCTCATCGTGGCGGCAGTGAGCCAGGGACAGCTCCGTTCCCGAGCACTTCACCCCGCTCATGACCACTTTGTTGGCGTAGACATTTCCGTGCCAATACCAGGTCTCCTGGAGGAATCAAAAGAAATGGGAAGCGTGTCACCCTGAATTGTCACTTTCTCGTATTCTGTCAACTTTCAGCCTCAGGAAAATCCCAAGGCTAAAGCTAAATGAGCCCATTTTTTCTGCTGGAGACAGCAGAGGCACACCCAGCCATGTCCCCAGAGTCATGCAGTTTGTTGGTGACAGAGTGGGGGAGACCCTCACGCTCCAGTTCTGCCACTGGTCCCCGCGGAGAAAGCGTAGCTAAGGTTTTGGTCAAATGGGTGTCCAGTGTTGTGTGTCAGGAACGGCAGGCACCTGTAACTCATGCTGCTCGCTCCCCAGCCCTGAGCCCAGGGCAGACATGACTGGTCCATCACAACCCTCTCTCCTCTAAACCTGCCCGTGCTCTCAGAATCCTCGGCACAGTGCTCCCGGGAGACACGACCAATCGATCAGAATCGGCAGGAGAGAAGAAATCTATTTACACGTGATAGCTCAACATGCATACATCCTATTGGTTCTGCTTACCTAGAGAACCCCCTCATCCTCTAGAGAGAGAACTGGGGCCTTGAGAAGGGACAGGGTGTATAATCGATGGCAGATCCAGGCCCACATCATGACCCTGCTGAGGCCCAAGTGTCGTAAGAATGAGCTGACCGGGAACGAAAATAGCTGGACGAGCCCTCTGCCAAATGGCACTGTTTTTTCCTCTCTCTCTGGAGCCCCAGAGGGTGCCTTGGCTTGTCAAAGCAGCGCTAGCAGAGACCCTATGGGAAGCCAGGGCCCTGGCAGGTGTGGGCGGGGCTTCGGAGGCCCGTCCCTTCTGAATGCCGGAATGAGGAGCCACAGGGTGGCCTCCGCTCGGGACTCAGCTCCTACCCTGGACCCAGCCAGCCTGTGGCAGCAGTCAGGCTCAGCAAGGCTTCAGAGCTGACCCAAGTCCCCCCCTAAGAAATCCTGTTCCGGGGCACAGGCCCCCCTCCTTGCTAACCAGTCAGGGTTAGCAAAGCAAGATGGGGCTCCAGCCATTTCCTCTTCTCCAAACACTGAGAAAGTGTTTGGAGCCAGGACACTGAGGACCTGGGACTATTCATTCCATGCCACCGGGAGGAGAAGGGACGCATGGGAGGGTGGCTGTTTTGCCCCAGATCGTTATACCGCGGGCTAGTGCAGGTATAGATGGGAATAGACCTCAAGCCCCTCATCTCTGCCTCCTTCTGACAATGTGTCCTCACAATACAGGCTCCAGAAGTCAATGACTTTTGAAGCCAAAGCGCTTCTTGCCTCTCGTCTGCTGCCTTCTGCAAGGGGCAGGGGCTTGGCTGCCTTCAGTGGAGTCCCTCTCTTTCAGGAAGGGGCCAGCGGGAGGAGGGCACAGACGATGGGACAAGGCTTAGAGGTGTACCAGCCAGTCAAGGGGAGAAGGCATGAGTACAGACACCAGCTGGGAAACGGTCTGTCCGGAGGGGCCTCGAAGGGAGTGAGCCAAGGCATCTGGGGTGCTGGGCCTTGGGCTGGGTGGTCTCTACTGTCCTGCAGGACCGACTTGCTTCCCTCTGCGTGGGCACAGCAGCATGCCCCAGAAGCAGCCCTCAGCCCAGGGTGAATCCCAGTGCTCCCAGCGGAGCGGACCCTGGAAACCAGAGTCCAGCCCCTTATTCTGTAGCGGGGAAACAGAGGCCAGAGGGGAACGTATCTCACCCTAGGACTCAGGGCTGTGAGGGGCAGAGCGGAGGCCAGGATGGCGTTCCTGCCCCCCTCCCCCTAGTCCAGGGCACTTTGCTGTCCACCTCCTGGGTAGCTGGGGAAGGTGCACGGAAAGCAGGGGCTGACTGAGAGGGGCAGGGTCACACTGGATGGAAGGGGCTGAGGCGGGCGCTTCTCACCTGGAAGGCGTTGCTGGCAAACCCCAGGCCCAGCTGCCGGCAGACCACCATGGCCTCCACAATGCCCCAGTTCTCGCCACACACTGTCCCCCACACGAGGGACCCGTTCCTCTCCACCAGCACCTCCACCCGGCCCTCGTAGGGGTTCCGGCCCCCATTCAGGCGCAGCTGTGGAAAGAAAGGCATAGTCACCACGTGCGAACAGAGGGGGGCTGCCCCACCACATTGCCATCAATCTCAGCTTCCCCCAAGCCAGGGGGTCCTGCCTGGGACACAGATTCAACAGCATCACTGAGAGCCTGCTGTGCGCCTGCATCCTGCCCAGGATGGGCTTACGTATTAGGTCCCCACCTGCAGGCAGCCCGAGGCCTTAGAAGCCTGTGCACTGACCCCCGCTGAGCGGCACCTGCCCCTACTCCCTGCCGCCCTCCGTGAGACTGCTGGGGACGGCTGCCCTTAGAATCAGGCACCTGGCAGGATGCGTCAAGGGGCCTTAAATGTTAGGATACACCCTCTGCTCGGCTGGTTCCAGCTCCCGATCTCATCTGCCCTGCCCCCACTGTCCTCTCCACCAGAACTCCCTTCTGAGACCCCGGAACCAACTGCCCATTTGACAGTTCCGCTTGGCACCAGGGAGACCCCAAATCTGAACGTGGCATCTTCTCAGTCTCCACCTAAACTTGTGCCCTATCTCCCCCTTGTTCCCTATTGCAGCGAAAGGCACCACCGTCTACCCCAGGGACAGCACACTTTCTGTAAAGGGCCAGGGGGTATTTTAGGCTTTGTGGGCCGAGCGCTCCGTGTCGTACACACTCAGCTCTGCCGCATAGCTAAGAGCAACCACGGCTGATGTGTACACGGCCGAGCATGGCTGTGTTCCAGTAAAACTATAATGACAAAAACAGGCAGAGGGATAGGTTTGGCCTGCAAGCTGTCCTTTGCCGATCCCCAGCCTACTCTGTTATACAAGCCAGAAATCCCGGAGCCAGCCTCGACACCGTCCTCTCTCTCTCCCCCCGCATCCGGTCAAAACCCTCCTCCGTGGATTTTATCTCCAGAGTCTCTTTCCAGTCCATTGCTTCCCTCCAGCTCCATGCAGACCCTCTTATCCCAGCGCCATCGCCTCCGGCCTGAGCCACACCTCCTCTCCCCTCCCTGCCTCCGCTCTGGACTTCATCAACCTATTGTCTGGTCAGAAGCCAGAGTCAGCTTTGAAAAACCCCAGCTCGCGTTGCTTCCCTGCTTGGCACATGGCAGCAGCTTCCCCTTGCTCCAATACTCACGCTTGCACCCTGTTCTCCCACCTCCAGGCACGCGGGCCTCAGTTTCCTCAGCTACCTAACTCTGGACCGAGTCACGCAGTTAAGTCACACCTGTAAGCGCACTACATACAGGTGTCCTTCTGCCTGGCTGATCCTTGTTCACCCTTCCGATTCGGTACCCTGCAACACTTCCCTCTCACTGGGGTCAGTGGGGTCAGTCACGTACACACTCTGTCGCTTCCTACACGTCTCCTTCTTAGCATTTACAACAGTTATAATTAAGCTAACTCACAATTCATTTAACATCTGTCTCCTCCGCTCGAATATAAGCTCCCAAGGGCAGAGCTGTATTTGTGTGGTTTCCTGTGTGATCGATAATTAAGACAGTACCTCACAAACATTAGGTTCGCCAACATTACTTTCGGAATGAATGAATCATCAGTCTTATGAACTGAAAGCATGGACCAACTTAGGTGAGCTCAAGCAGACAGATCTGGAGATTGGGGAAGGGCTCTAAAAATGCTACCCCTAATCCAAGCACCTTTCCCAGCTTCCTTTATACGCCTAGGAATTCATCCTTTGGGACAAGGCATGGTGACTCTAGGAACCCTGAGCACGTTGGGCTGTTGGCTTGCCAATCCTTAGCAACAGCATACTCCTGGGGCACAGGTCTTGATTCTTATTATGGACTTAGGGGCTGCAAAGGTCAATGAGGTCAGCCGGCAAACAGACAAGCCAAGGGCAGACACGATGCCGGGTCTACCTCCCAGGCTTGTGGAGAGGAAGAATTAAAAGAGGTAATTCATGGAAAGTGCTCACACAGGCCCCGGCACACAGTAAGTGCTCGAGAAATATTAGTCAGCATCCTAGTGATGATTTTTATTAGGGTGAGAGTCCCATCAGAAATCAAAACTCTCTTCAGAAGAAATAGGAGGGGTCAGAGCCAGTGAGAAGAGGGCTGTCCTTCGGGAGGCCGTTTGTCTTCCTGAGTGTTTCTGGGCTGAGAGCCCAGGGTGAAGGTGGGCACTGGACAAGGTCTTAGATATGGATCGTACTTTACTCACAACTAACATATGTTTGGGTCTATGTGAAAACATAGACCAATAAGATGAGCGGAGCCAGTGAGAAAATCCCAGAACGGCAGAAGGCAGGCTACCCAGCTTCAACATGCCAAGCAAGGGCCAGCACCTTGGGTGGGGCGTGTGCTTAAACCCATCAGGGGCATCTCTAGGGAACCACAGGCCATCCCCTCCACCCCCCGCCCCCCCGCCCCCCCGCCCCGGTGTGGTTTCCAGCTGCCCCCACCAAGCCTGTGCACCTGGGGAGGTGGAGGCCATAGGTGTGGACCCTTCCAGTGGGCCAGGGGAGCGCTGAAGCTCTGAATGCCAGTGGGCAGTGAAGCTAAGAGCAGAATGACTTTAAACGGGTTTGTTACCATTTTTGAATTCCTTGTGGACTGTGCCTTGCCTTATTTTTATTTTATTTTATTTGTGCCCTGCCTTATTGACTGCAGCAGGGGCGGATGGTTCCTCCTGAGGCCCCCTTCGTGGGCACCACCTCCTGAAAACTGACTTCATTTTGTCATTGCGAGGCCAGTGAACTATGAAGATGTGGGAGCCGGAAGAACCCCGTTCTCACTCTGTCCGGCTACCAGAGAGCAGGGGGGCTCCCAAGTTTAAGTCTTGGTGTGAAGGGCTCCCTTTAGGAGCTTCCAGAGGACTCTCTCCCTTGTCCATCTCTGCCTGTGCAGCCCGCCCAGAGCTGGCTGGCCATGTGGCAGCATCCCTGTCCCGCAACCTAAAGCCACGGGAAGCCTCGGAGGCTCTGGCTGAGGATCGTGGCTGCACGTTGGCTCTGGGTAAGGAAACCACGCGGTCACCAGTGGTGAGCTGGCGCCTCTCTTTGAAGCCCTTCCCGAGGCTCCGAGCTGCCGCTGTGGTTCTCCAAGGCTGACTAGGCCTGGAGCAGCCTCTGTGACAGGGACCAGGGTGCCACTGCTCTGGAAGGAGTCTAGGCGCTTCAAGATGCATTGGGGGCCTTTTCTCGTTTTCTAGAGAGGACTAGAGGGAGCAAGAGGCCAGCCATGAAGCTCTCACATGGCGCGGGACATAGCCCTCCATGCCCCGGCCCCACTCGGAGGCGCCAGCATTCTGGAAACAGCCTGGTGCGCTAGCTTACAGGTGCTCTGCAATCACCAGCACTGGAAGAACCCCAAAAGGCCTCGGGTCAGCCAGCAGCCTCTGGCCCTCACCCCTCGGCCTCATCACCCAGTGAGGATGCCAGGGAAGGTCAATCGTCCTCAAGATAACCCTGGCATTTCCCTTTTCTTGCTCCTTTGGTTCTCAAGGGCGGCAGCCTGGGGTTTGAAAGAAGGCAGCGGCATTCTCCTGAGTGTCAACACGGAAAGCCAAGCACTTCCGGCCGGTGGAGTCCAGCAAGGCTGCATCGTGGTTTGATAAGGTTGTGGTTAACCAGGCCCACACCTGTTTTGGGAGGTGAGCGGGGAGGAGGCGAGGGAACCCGACCCAGATGTCAGCCTGAAAGGAAGCACGGGCACCTTCCAACTCACATTCCACACACGGGCTTGGTCCCGCTAACCAGGCCGGGCCAGGGGAGGCCCGCGGCTCAGAGGTGGACCGGAGGCCAGCACGGGTGGTCGCCCGGTAACCCCACCGGCCATTCCCAGAGCCTCCCGGGCTCAGCTCCTCCCCGCCAGCAGCGGGCAGAGTGAGGCTTTGCCACCCGGTTCCAAGTCCGTGGTCTTTAGTAGCCATTCAAGAGAAAAGTCAATTTCCTAACGAAGGGGGGGTGGCAGAGAAGCCAGGGAAATCATCGCTCTCACTTCCTTATTTTCAGAGGAGTAAACTCAAGCCTCAAAGAAATTAAATAAGGAATCGCCCAGTGAGTGATGGTGAACTGACTTGTGTCCCCATGCAATTCCTGTGCTGAAGCCCTAAGCCCTAATATGGCTGTATCTGGAGAAAGGGTGTTTTCAAGACGTAATTCAGGTTAAATGACGTCCTAAGGGTGGGCCCTGTGCAATATGATGGGTGTCCTCACAAGACGAGGAAGAGACACCGGGGATGCATATGCAAAGGCTGCGTGAGGACACGCGAGAAGGCGACCATCCGCAAGCCGAGAGAGGCCTCGGGAGAAACCAGCCCTGCCGGCACTCTGATCTTGGATTTCTAGCCCCTCGAACTGTGAAGACAAACATTTTACTGTGGAAGTCTCCCAGTCTGTGGTGTTCTGCTATGGCGGCCCCGGCAAACTAACACAGTGATAACAGCTGGGAGTCTGGACGGTTCTGCCTGGCGTGGTTGCCCATGCCCGTGGGAGCCCCGAGCCACGCCACGGGACAGGCTGGCCCGCTGCGGTGGCGAGACAACCCGTACGGCCCATGGGACTTTCCTTCACAGGTGACCTTGCCCATTTCTTCCCGGGGGATGGCAAGCAGGTGTAAAACACCCCCATGCCTCCTGCGTGAGCTCAGGGAGCACCTGCCGGAGCCTGGAGGGCCCGAGCAAGGGTGAGGCCCTCGGCGCTGGGGCTGTGGGGCTGCCACCAGCCTCACCGAGCACACAGCCTGGCTCAGCCATCCCAACCACAAAACGCACCTGGAAAACATCACTTTCTTTGGCCTACGTCTTTCACTTGGGTTGAAAACCTCACTCCACCCTCCTCCAATCAGCCTGAAGTGAAGGCTGCCACAGCAGGCCAGGACCCGTGGCTCGTCACCTTCCATAGCTCCGTACGGCGATCTCGCAATGCTGCCGGGCAATTAGAGATGGCAAGCCTCCCCCGCCGCTGGGGGCGTGCGGCCCGTGCTCCTACTCACCTACGGGCAAATGCACGGCTTGGCTGAGGGCTGTTGGGGTCCCATTTTGGGCCCCATCGGGCAGTGAACTGCACAACACACGTTGTGGCTGACCGGTTGGGCATGCCGGCGCCAAGGTCAAGAATCACCGTCAAAGCAAGAACCCGACTGGGGAGCCATCCTGCACCCTGATGTGTCCGCAGCTGCTCATTTTTAAAATAAGCACTTAAAAAGCTCTTCCAACGTGCCAGCCAGGTAGCAGATGATGCATGGGACCCAACCAAATACATGGGATAGTGAAGAGCAATCTGAACAGGGGCAACCTCTTCGGGTCCCCTCCCTCCCTGGGAGCTTTGTACTATCACTTTGCTATCACTCAGTAAACCTTGCAAAAAAAAAAGAGCAATGAATAGGATGTACTGGGCCTTTCTGTAGGATTGGATAGACCGAGAGGAATTCATCTTAGCTCCTCTTGTGGGAAAGATCACCCAAGCCAGGAGACACGATGTAGGTTTCTAGAGACTCCATCTCAGGAGAGGAAGGGTGTGTCTCTGGTATAATGCTGTTAAGGTTCCCCTTTCTTTCCCTCTGGTTACCAAAACACAGTCTTCTGTCCCAAAACATTGTTTATATTGTGCTTACCCTTGTGTAGCTTGTAGACCTGCTGTCGATGTAGTTCCCCTGGGTCCTTGGACAGGGACCATGCCGAGGGTGTCACAGGCACTACGGACCTTGAGTCCCTCACAGAAAGGACTGCGTTGCGATCATGCCACATGTCCAGTCCCCGTGCAGGGTGTGGCACACAGTGGATGCCCGCCATCTGCCACTAAGGACAGCGTGGCTATCCATGCATTTTCTCACTTGGCACGCTTAATGAATGTGAGGCGACAATGTCGTTAACCATGACAGCAGCGGAGCCTGAGCCCTTTCTGAGTTCATCATCAGAGCCCTCAAACACCAGCTGTTAGAACCCTTGAGCGTGAGGCCACCTGGCCCATACTTTCTGGGACTCAGTGACCAAAAGAGAACACAGCCCCTCACCTTCTTCTGGAAGCCCATGGCAGGGATGTTACATCTCACGCCAGCATCTTCCTCGTGGTTGCAGCCCAGAGACTCGGCATTGAATTTGCAGTCTATAATGGACTTCTCAGTCCCGGTGCACTCGATTTCATTGAGGTGGATGGGTCCTATCCCTGGGGGAGGAAAACAAACAGGTACTACTGGCAGCTTCTGAAGGTAAGTTTCTGGAGTGGGCAATAAAGTCCTAGACGGTAAGAACGTGTTTCTCCCACCCTCAGAACTCTTCCAGCTGCATCCCATAACCAGCTCAAGGTTCCAGGCCTCCTCTTCTGGAGAGGAGAGAATTGCTTTTTGTCTTGGGATTCACTTCTCCCCTAAAAGCAAATCAAATGTGCTGCAAACTTCCTGTGTGGCCTTGGCCGACCCACTCAGCCTCTCTGAATATTGGTTTTCTTCCCTGAATAAAGGAGATGGACGAGAAGACATCTAAGTTCCCTCTTCAACTTTAATACTCCGTGCATTTTGAACCCGAAAAGGGCGACTATCCCTATAGAATCAGAGACCCCGCAGGAAAGTGATGGCACACTCAAACTGGATGATTTGAATACAGTTAAGAAAAAGGGATTTTGAAAATAAAGATAGGGGGTGCCTAGGTGGCTCATTCAGTTAAGCAGCTGACTCTTGATTTCAGCTCAGGTCAAGATCTCAGGGTCCTGGGATCGAGCCCCGCATCGGGCTCCACGCTCAGCAGAGAGTCTGCTTGAGGAGTCTCTCCCTCTCTCTCTGCCCCTACCCCACTCGCTCTCCCTCTCTAAAGTAAATAAATAAATCTTTTTTAAAAAGATAATAAAGGTACGGACAGAGTGTAGGGAAATCACAAAATCACAAAGGACAGTCCAACACTCAGAGGCTAGTAAGAGTGGGACACAGAAATGGCCCGTAGGCCAGCAGGAGTGAGGGGAAGATGCCAATGTCTGACTTAGGAAAGCAAAGAACGTATGTGGAAAGGGCACCTGTTAAGAGCCATTACCCCTTGGGGCGCCTGGGTGGCTCAGTTGGTTAAGCGACTACCTTCGGCTCAGGTCATGATCCTGGAGTCCCTGGATCGAGTCCCGCATCGGGCTCCCTGCTCGGCAGGGAGTCTTCTTCTCCCTCTGACCCTCCCCCCTCTCATGTGCTTTCTCTCTCATTCTCTCTCTCTCAAATAAATAAAATCTTTAAAAAGAAAAAAAAGAGCCATTACCCCTGGTCGAGGAGGGACACAGCAGCCTGCAGGGACCCTGTAGGGGGAAGAGATACCTGGCCTCCCTCCTCTCCCCAGCCCATCTCCTGCCAATGTTCCCTGCTGGGGCAGAGAGGGCAAATCATCAGGCAAATGACCGATGGTGAACATGCAGGGAAGCTGTCACATGCACCCAGATAACCAAGGGGAGCCCCCCACTGCTGGGGAAAGAGAATCCCCAACGTGACCCTGTTGGCTCAGCTCAGCTCAGCTCACAGGGCTACCTCCCCTCTGTCTAGCCCATCAAAGTCAGGTTCTCTCTGGGAGCTTTGGGCTGCACTGACTCCCACTTTGGTTCCCGCCCTGCCTGGGATCACCTCTCTTTTCCTGATCCTCACTCACCATCCTCGTCTCGCTCGGGTCCTGCCCCTCAACACTCAGACACTCACCTCCCATCTTAGGGCCGCCCTCCCCTGAGCCCACTCTCTGCCTGTCACTTTAGTCTCCATCAGAGTGAACTTCTTGGAAAAGTTGTCTCTTTTGTCCCCTTTACTTCCCCAGCCAGCAGAAGGACCATCTCCCATCCACTTCTCCGCCAGCCCTCTCCATCCTGGGAAGTGGAGTCCATCCGGCCTGATGTTCTCACCAGAACCCAGAGGTCATCTCTGGTAACCCCTCTTCCTCTGTGGTTGACAAGGAATCCATCATCACATCTGTTCACTCCCCTAAATCTGGGTGCTTTGCGTTTCTGCTGTTGCGACACTCATCGCATTCTGTCTTCTCCCGTTTGGACAAATGCAACTGCCTCTAGGCTCCGTCCTGCTTGCTCATTCTAAAATATTCGTCGCAGGGCAGCCCATGAGTGCTGTTAATGCATATTGAATCAAGCCACTCCCCATCTTAAGTCCCTGGAACGGCTTCTCACTGCATCGAAGGGTAAAATCCACAATCCCCAAGTGGCCTGTTAGGCACAGCCTGGCCTCTCACTTAGCGTTCCAGCTCTGTCCGCCGCCACATCACCTATTTGGCCGCTTGATTGAGCTGAGCTTTTCCCCTGCCTGGACCCTCTGCCTGGCCCATCTTCCTCCCCTCCTCACCAGCTAACTCTCGCTCATCCTTCAGGGCTCGGCTTTGACCACTTCCTTAGAGAAGCCTTTCTGATTCCCGTCTAAGCTGGGCCCCCTCGTGTGGCCTCCCACTGAGCACTCAGGTGGCTGTCTGTTCCGTGTCTGCTTCCCCACTGGGTTGGAGACCCCACAAGGGCAGGCGTCATGTCTGTGTTCCTTCTGTGATTTCTGTTGCAGAGGTTTCCAGAGACACCCGGTATCTAGGCTCACCGAGGCCAAAATTAACTTCCAGGAGCAACCTACGTTAGTAAGTGAGAGCCAAGTTTCCCTTTCCTTGGGAATTCACAAATTCAATTCACAAACAATAAAGCTTCCAATTCCTTGGAATTTTATAAAATTGATTAAAACACAGTGACTGTGGCTGGAAGCATCCAAGGACTCAGAGTGGAGAGGCTAGGACAGCGCAGGCCCTCGAGGCAAGCAGGGGCCACAGCTCAGGGATTCGGGGGGACGCAGAAACGGGCAGCAACCTTGGACCTGCGTATCTGATGCAGGGCTTGTTTGACGACTGTCAGAAGGATGACGGTGGCGATGGTGACATATATTTCTTGAGCGCTTACTATGCGCTGGATTCTGTCCTACACACATGGCGTGTATGAACTCATCATCACCAGTCAATACAATGTGGAAATGGGGGGCCAACAACGAAGTAACAGGCCTGATGGAGGAGCCAGGAGGCAAACCAGGCAGTCTGGCCCCACAGAGGGATCCTGCTGGGTTTCTGGAGCCATCAGGAGAGAAAAGCCCCGTGTGCTGGACGGCGGCAGAAGGTTGCTCTGCGAAAGATCGGAGGGTTTGGAAGCACCTGTGTTCTTCATCTAGGGATGCTCTCTCTGCCTCCTGAACACCTTCTCCTTCTGCTGACCTAGCTAGAGGCCCGCCTCCAAGGAACATCTCAAAGCCTTCCTCCGGCTTGGCTCCGCTTGACACCACCTGACCCCCACCTGCAGCATTTTCTGTTGACACCTCTCCCTGGGAGGCGAGGAGAGACTGGAGCCGGCCTGCATCTCCTTGGGAAGTGACGGGAGCTTTCTGAGCCCCGCCTCCCTCATCTGCCAAAGGCAATAATAGCAACTCTCCGGCAGGGTGGGGATTATGAGAGACGAGTGACACCACGGATGGCCAGTTACCAGGGGCTCAGGAAATGGCAAACAGTATCAGTGTCACTTCTCATATCACCCCTCTGAGTGCAGGTTATCTTTGAGGGAGGTTATTTCTAGTTTCCCCCGCTTGACGCGAGCTGCCAGGGAGCAGAAACCATTACCGTAAATGTTTGTGGAATAAACGAATTCTCCATTCCAGGGCCCAGCCCAAACAGTCTTCAATGAACGCTTATGAATCACTGGCCTACAGGACTGGCCAGGGGAGGAAAGGTTTATGCAAGAGCCGACCGTGCTTTAGACTCCAGCTAACAACTGGTGGTCTCCTTCCAGCCTCCCTTGTGTAAATGCCCACAGTGGCGGTGGGGCCCCAGAGGGCGGGCCCCATGTTCCTGAAGCATACACATTCATGGCACAGAGATTGGAGAACCAGTGTTTCTCACCCTCTTCCCTGTACTCCCGAGCTCTGCAGGGTGGGCGCTGTCCCTGAAGGCCCCTGGCCTGGGTATACAGCAGAGCATGCCCAGCCATGTCTGTGGGCTCCTGGTTCCTTCTGTTGACCTGGGCCTGACCCCGCATCCTGACTCCCAGCATTCGCCTGCTCCAGGTTCTGGACTGACCCCTGAATTGCTCCTCCTCACTATGCCTTTCCTACCTGCACTTTGACTCTGCTCTTCCCCCAAGGAACAAGCCCTGGCCCAGGGGACCACAGGCCAGGGGCAGAAGCAGGGCACAGGGGAGAAGCCTAACCCCCTGGAGCGATGTCATGGACTCTAGACCCACAGTTAACTCTGCCGGTTACAATCACATTTTTTAAGAGCGCAGTAGAATACAGTAGGACATAGCGTTTTGTATGTCGTAGAGGTAAGCACTGTTTCTAGAAACTTCTGTTTCAGCTTTACGTGCGTGGCCTGTCCCATCACATGTATTTCTGCTTGGGGATTTCAGGAAAAAGGCTTTTAAAGACACTGCTCTAGAGCTGCCCTGACCAATACAGCCACTGGCCACACTGAGCACTTGGACCGTGGCCAGGCCACACTGAGCACTTGGACCGTGGCCAGGCCACACTGAAATGTGCTCTGAATATAAGGCACACCTTAGATTCCAGACTCGGTACGCAAAATGTACACTCTCTCATTAATAGCATTTATATTGATTACATGTTGAAATCATCATATTTGGGATAAATTGGATTAAGGGAAATATATTATTAAAATTAATTTGTTTCTTTTCTATGAGATAATTTAAAATTACTTACGTGGCTCCCATTATATTTCTGTTGGACAGCTAGGGTGTAGAGTGCTGAAACTTCTTTACCAAGTGTTTATTCAGCTGATCCTACTTACACAAGTGGAGCTCATTCATTCATATATTCATTCTTCATAACATGAACAGCCTAGAGCACTATGAGCTGGGTACAGACTCAGCACTAGGGACACAGAGGTGAAGGACACAGGCCCTCCCCTCATGCAGCACTGGGTCTTGGGGGTGGGGGTGGACATGGACACAGACAGCTGGAGTCCAGATGTGTGCAAGGGGTCCCAGGAACACAAAGCACAAAGTGCCTGACTCCGACCTAACACCCATCCTGGTGATAAGAGCAGGTCTCAGAGAATCGCAGGAGGCTGGGGCCACACAAACCCTCAAATGTGACTCCAGTGTAGAATCTGAAACCCTGGCTTTTGCTCAAGGTCACTGAGCAAGGAGGTGGCAGAGCTGGGACTAGGACTCAGACTGCTCGCTGCTTAGTCCTTGCCTTTCACACCCAAACCACGGGTGTGGCCACTCGGTCCACCAGCCAGAGCCGGGACTGAGCCTACCCCGTCTGCTCTGTGACTTGACACTGACTGTAGACTTTTCCCTTCCTGCCTACCAGAATTGACCTGCCCAGAGTGCTGGGAGATCATAAATCACCCAGTGGTTCTTTCAAGGACAGCATCGAAAATGCCAGCTGTCTCTTTCTTGCAGGGTTCTGCAGGTCCCTGGAAACCTGTGGCTGCTCTGGGCAGTGAAATAACTAGGTCAAATAGTACACGCCCATGGGGGATGGAATGCTGATGTCATCCAGGCTCATTTGTTCCTCAGAATGAGTGGGCTTTGTGCTGCAGGCCTTGGGAAAGCACAAACCAACACAGCCAATCAGTGACACGGACTGTGGGGGTATTCGCCATCCAAGGGAACTCCAAAGAGCTCACCACGACCAGGGAGGAAGAGGACTGGCCTGCGGTATCACCGAGGCTTCTAGGTGGCACGAAGCAACGTTAGAGGCCAGCCTAGACCCCTAACCTTCAGTGCACGCCCAGGAAGCTTGCAGGATTGCAGAATTGGGGTAGAGACGTTCTGAATGTGTGGGGGGCCTGGGCGATGGTGGACATACCGGGAGAAGCCCAAACCTGGGAGCTAATGACTTGGGTTTCAGATTTTCTCCACCACTAACCATGGGGGTGATCACAGGCTTGTCCTCCCATGCCTCCATGCCTCGGTGTTGGACTAGATGAACTGAGGTCCTCTCCAGCAGGGCATCTATGATTCCAGGGCTCTCTCCAGTCCACTGGGCTGTTACTTCCTCCAGGGTGTGACCAATGACCTCACCACATTCCTCTCTGTGGGGCGACGGCCCTCCGGCTGGCAGTATCCTCCCCCCCAGGACAGGGTGCTCCACCCTCCTTGTCAGAAAGGGAAGCTGTCGTGTCCTCATGTCACGTGTGCACCATTGTTCTCAACGGAATGACCCGCTTGAAAGCCTCTTACACTTTTGTTCTCTGCTTAGATGAAGGATTTGTGCAGGACACTTAATAAAATCCAGGCCCCTTCTCGTTAGCATCACGTGACATCCGGAAAGGGGCATTCCTGTTCCCAGTCTCTGGTGGCAGGGAGAGAATGTTTGTGGTGCTACGCCGGAGTGGGAAAGTAAGATGACCTTTGAGATTCTTGTGTGCCTGGGGTGGGCCACGGCCGGAGGAATTCTGAGATCCTGTCCTGGAGGAAGGGTCTGAGAATTCCAGCTTTCTCAGTGGGACTGGGGAGCACTGGGTTGCGAGCTGGGAGACCTCCACTAGGGTCTTCATTGGCCGCTAATATGTTGTCTCACCTTGGTTATTCACTTCTTTCTCCGGGCCTCAGCTTCCAAATTCATAAAATGGGGGCTCAGTGTTCCCTAAGCCCTTGCAGCTCTGACTGCTGGGAGAGGCCCAGCATTCTCGAACAGAGCAGCAGCCACGGGTGGGAGCAGGCAAAGCAGGAAGACCCCGCAAAGCCCGAAGCCAGCCCACCTGGCCTGGGCCCCCATGCCGTGCTCCCTGTGAAGAGGCCACAGAACTCCTCCCCAGTCCTTACCTTGCCCCAGCTGGGAGCCAGTGATGGCTTCTCTGGCACTCCCAAAGCCCAGCTCTCTGCAGACGACGCTGGCAGACACCAGGTCCCACTTGTCGTCACAGACGGTACCCCATTCTCCGTTCTTGAGCACCTCCACTCGGCCCTCCCCGATGTTGGCACCACCTCTCAACCGCACCAGGGGTTGCTGAAGAGACACACGGTCCTGCTGAGTGCAAAAGCTGATGCACATTTGGCAGGTGGGCGCTGCCCACTGCCCTCCCCTCCCAGCCGCTCCCCTCCACACTGAGGTGCCCGGGCTAGGAGCCGAACCTGTGCTGGAGTTGTGTGCATGTGCGGGGCGGGGGGGGCGGGGGGGGCAGGGGGGTGCCCATGCTCGCTCTGCACCGTCAGCTCTCTGGGAGCTGCCGTCCTGGACTACAGAGGAGCCCACTGGGACCCTCATTCATTCGCCACCCCAACCCAGGCTTGGTCAGGGGCCTTACCACCAGCACTTCCCTCCACAGCCCCAGTGCAGAGCCTCAAGCTTTAGAGCTACAGAAAGCAGCTCCTACCCCCAAACTTGGCAGATTCCAGGCGGACCGGGATTCTACCTTGCTTAGAACCGAGCGCTCTAGTCTAGCCCTGCGGGAGACTTCAGGGCACTGACGGTTACAATCCGGTGATCCCGCTCTGCAGGCGGGGAGAAGCAGGAGCGGGGAGACAGGGAGCTAACCAAGAAGGCCGGGGCTGAGACAATGGACCCTGTGCAGGGGTGGGGAGCCTGCCGTGTGTCCTGGGGCTGGGCGTACGCGCGGCCACTATTCCTGCTACCGCTAGCCCTGATTCTGTTCCAGGTCCAAATCAGCCTGGCTCTGCAGAAGAGGCAGTGCCCCTAGCTGTGCAGAGAGGGGGTGCTTACAGTTTAACTGCCCCTCAGCGCTCACTGACAGCCTGGAAGCCCAAGCGCCTCGCAGGGTTTATTTAATCACACAGGGATAAAAGCCACTCTCCACCAGGGCTTTGACCCACTGGATCACATGTTACCAGATGGGAGCTGGCTCACATGACTCCATCTGCCCACACACCCCGGTCTGCATCAACTTCCGTGCATGCGATGTGTGTGCATGTGCATGCGTGTGTGTGTTGGGGGGAGGGGTGGGGCTCAGAAGGCTTCGAGGCTCTGAGTTACTGCTGATGCTCATTTGCTTCAACACAGAGGGAGTGGGCTGACTACGCAGCCGTTCTGTGTGTGCTGGATCAGACCAGAGTCATTGTTCCACTCGCGCCTCCGTGGTCCTCAGACCACACCCGCCGATGGCCCGGCCATGGTGGCCTGGCTGGAGGTGGTGTTTGTCGACATTCAGGTACACCTGCCACCTTGAGGGCCGAGGTGTCAGACCAGAACCCGTGTCTCCATCCTCCAGCTGAGGTTCCCACTCGGCCACAGGGCTCTCGCCCACTGGCGGTGCCCCGTGGCTGCCGTGGCGGGGCAGGGCGCAGTGATAGCACCCAGGCTTACAGGCCGTGGGGACTGCTCTGAGCCTGGCACTAGGGAGAGAAGATGGACAGGGGTGTGTGCCAAACATCCGGAACCTTCTAGCTTTAGAAAACAAACCAGACACCTGTTGGCTGCAGCCCATTTGCAGTGGAGCTGTGCCCTCTCCCTTCCCCCACCGCCCGGCCCAAGCTGTCTAGCACGCACAGCTGTGGCTTCCATGTTCTGGAAACTGCTCCTATGGGCTGGTGGGTGGGAACAGCATATGGGAAGAGGAGGGGGAGGGGTAGGAAAGGTGGCTGCTCATTTATGAGGGGGCAGACCATCCATGACCCGAGCTTGATGGAGGCAGAATGCCAAAGATCCTCACCCCAGCCTGGCAGTGGCTGAGCAGAGTCAGCTGGCCCCGGAGGAAAGAAAGAAACCAAGGGAAAATGTGATGTAAGGCTCGCTACCCCCCCCCCTTTTTTTTTAAATTCCTTTGGCATGAACTCGATTCCTTTGCTTTAAACCACACAGCAAGAGGAATTCCAAAACAGTAGGGTCTGGAATTCTGGATGACATACGAGAAAAGCTCAGAGGCTCGGGCTGAGGCTGTAGGAAGGATGTGGTCATCACATCATGTGGCAGGGGGGCAAGTGAGGGTGTGGGGGGGCTGTGGGGCTGTGGGGGGCGGGCAGCACTGTCCGGGGGTGTGTGTGTCTCCTGGCTGCACGCATGTGCTGTGTGGTGGGCCTGTGCACTTTGGAGGCCCCTTGGCGACAAAGGGGGCAGGGACGGCTGCCTGCTGGAAGAGTCACAAAGGCACTCCAAATAGTTCCCATACCCCTTGGTTGATGGCTGGGCTCACAGCATTCATTTCACTCCTTTCACTGAAGGCTTTCTCTTTTGTGTAAATACACCACCCCCAGCCTGGGAGGGGGCACCCAACATGGTTTATCTGCCTCCTGTCAGGGTTTCCCTTTTCTTTCGGATGAGTGCTATCACCCCCCTCCCAAGAGCAGGTCCTTAGATGTTGATGTGGAGGGGAGAGAGCAGAGGGCAGAGGGGAAAGATGGGAGAGACAGGGAGAGAGGAAAGAGACACAGAATGAGGCTGCCATCACGGCCTTCCCCCCTCCTCTTACCCCTGACGTGGTCAGAGCTGACTCGGAACTCACCCCTGCCCAGGTGAGCATGGAGGTTTTATCTGGCGCGGGGGATCACTCCCCATAATGAGCAGCCACCTTTCCTACCCCTCCTTCTCCTCCTCCCATGTGCTGTTCCCACCCACCAGTCCCATGTGAGCAGTTTCTAGAACACGCACATCACTGAGAACCTTTGACAGATATAGAAAAAAAGAGGGGTAGGAAAAAGAAAAATGAATTTCCTCTTAATGATTTTCAAGGGAAGACAGAGGAGCGCACTTTCTCTGTTTCAGAAGCCGCGTCAAGCCTGCCATGGTCAGGACGGTTCACTTGTCCTAAGAAATTGGACACTTGAAACGGGGCTGTTATGTATGCGAGCAGATGTACATCGGCGTGTCTTGAGTACACGCACACGCACACGCACACGCAGGTGCTGCTCGCACACATGGAATGAGACTGAGGGCTACAGGTGACAGAGACATGGGAATGACAGGTTTTCCTTGTCTGTCTCGGTGAAAGCTTTTTAAAAATTTTTATCCTTGCTGTCGCAGAACCAACCAAAACATGTTTGGAAACATTGGTAGCAGGGTTCCTGTGCTTTTGAGAATCATACTGGATTTCCCACAAACTCCAGAACGCTCCTCTCCTCTGGGAACACAGCAGCACTCCCCACCCCTGCCTCTCCTGCTGGGCCAGCAGACGGCGCACAGAGCCTGTGACAGTGGATAAGGAGGTGCTCTCCTCTCCTTGGTATCTGTCCTCCATGGAGGGGACTCTGGTCTCGGAGAGGAGTAGCAACGGTGGGAGGCCAGGCTGGGGTGCTGAAGATTTGGGGCTGGGGCCCAGCGGCTCGGCGCATTCTAGAAGTGGCATCTCTGGGGGGGGCCGGCCCTGACAGGCGTCCCACTACATTCCTGCCCTGTAGGAAAGTCGTCTGAGTTGGGGCCAGCTCTCCTCATTCTCTCCTGGAGGGGTCCCTGCCCGCTCCCTAAACTGCCACTCTCCCCCCGCGCCCCGTGCCAAGGGGCCAGACCTCTGGCCACGTCCTCACCTCTGGCTTGTAGGCTTTCCGGAATCTCGAGGGCCCGTCGGGGCTGAAGACCTGGCCAGGCACACAACTCACCACGGCTGGCAGCCCATTCTCACAGGTGACATTCTTCACAGGGTCCAGCAACACCTGAGTGCTGAGCTTGCAGCTGGAGATGTGGGCCTCCGTGCCTCTGCAGTCCATGGAGAAGGGCCAGTAGCGCTGTTTCTTCCGGGCCGCAAACATCCTGCAGGGGGGCGAGGGGGCGGGTGACCAGGGTGTCATGGCGCCCACCCCTCATTCCTTCCACAACTGGGTCCTGGGTACGGGGCCGGCCGCTGTGCTGGCTTCTGGGGATCTGGTGGGGGAACAGAACGGGTACGGCCTGTGCATCTGGAGATCAGCCCCGCTGAGTGGGCAGGCACTCGCTGAGCACCTCAGCCATATGGGGCACCATGCTGGGCGCTGGGAAGCAGGACTGGGAGGGCAGATGTGGCCTCCTTCCCCACCCCCCACCCGGCCCCAGGCAGCTTATATGCTAGAAGAGGAAGTGAGATAACACAAAAGCCTATAAACGCAAAATGCAGAAAGGGGTCTAAAAGAGATAAGACCCCTGGTCCCAGGAAACTCTCAGTCCCAGGCAAACCAGAATGGTTGCTCACCCAAACACTTCAGATAATTTCAACATGATTGGCTGTGGTTTCTTGCCTGTGTCAATGAGCAGAACAAGGTGAATGTTAAACTCTCTCCCAATGACATACAAGATCAAAGGTGTGGATCCGATGAGAAGCAACAAAGAACAGTCTTAAATCACCCCATGGGCTGAATCAAAGTATAACTTGCTTGGAAATTAAAGTGGTCAGGAAACTCAGCCACAGACCTTATCAAATCTTCACCTGGGAGCCAGTGAGGCTCACGGTGTCCCCGGAGCATAGCCTAAGGGAAGCTCTTGGCCTGTATTACGTGTGAAGTATTCCTTTTTACGTGTTTTTGGAAGGCAGAATAAAGACCAAGGTGAGCCAAAGTGTTTTCTAAAACAATAACCAACCGATAAGTAAGGAACTGGTTAACAGAAAGATTACTGTGCCTCGGTTTCCCCATCTCCAAATTAGAAGGGTAATGGGATCTACTTGGTAAGATTGTTTATAATGCTTGTGAAGCCGTTAAAACCGCACACAGGAAGGGCTTCGTATGTGTTTGTAAAAGCACTGACAACTATCTTGGTTAAAGGAGACAAAGGGAAGAAGAGAAGGTAGGGCTCCCCAGGGTTGCCGTCATGAGACACGACTTCGGGGAGGAGCAGGGTTTGAGCTAGGCTCTGAATGATGGTGGGATTTGCAAAGGAGGAGGGCAGGGACGACACCCTGTCCTCTCATGCTGTCCCAGCTCTCTGGGGTCTGTGTGCTTGTCCCCGCTTGGCAGAACCAGTGACATGCCCCAGACAGACAGCATCGCCACCAGCTGCCCAGTGGAGGGGCCCCCCGGGGCAGGCTGGCCCAGGGCGGGGCAGAAGGGGGGGCCTGTTTCTGCTGGTAGGGCAGGCCTGGAAGTTTCTGCTTTGTCTCGGAGGGAAGGGATGTGAACACAGAGGAAGGTGAAACCCTACAGACACCTCCAATATCTTTCCTTAACCCCAAATTTCGACTGATTCTAGTGTACCTGTGCACCCAATGACACAGACTCTTTGAAAAAAGGACTATCCTGGGAAATTCAGGATGTGTGCTCAACATCCCTGTAGCCTACGGTGAAGAACTTTGCAGGAGGGCCGTTAAGAATTCCAAGCACCACTGCCCCTCCCTACTTCCTACATACAAGGCCCCTGCCCTTAGAAACACAACCTCCAGCTTGTTCCCCACCATACCCCCACCTCGGACTGGAGAACACACTTGGAGGGGGGGTTGTCTCCAGCTTGTCCCTCAGGACGCCCCCACAATAAGCGAGAGAGCACACTCGGGGGAGATCAGCTGCACAAGGCCTGACACATCCTCTTGCTTCCAGGGTTCAGTGAACACTGCCCTCACCCAGCAGATGTACTGAGCTCTTAATATAGACCGAAGCGCACACAGCAAACACAGATCTGCTCCTGCCTTTCCCAGACAGCCCTGCTTCCCTCTCACATCAGCTCACAGGAATGCACGGGGGCCCTCCACAGGCCTCCGCTACGCAGGCAGTGGCCCACCCCCTCCCCCAGTGATTCACCAGGGCCAGGGCCAGGGGGTGCAGACACGAGGGAGCGAGGCCGTGGGGAAGCTGCATGACAGCCCGCCCCAGGCCTGCTGTTTGGAGAGCCACTGGAGTGACGGGCAGCTTTGAGCCCAGGGGGAAGCCTGCTGGAGAAAGAGGTGTCTAGAACTATGGCAGGGTAGAAGGAAGAACCCTCGGCTGGGCCGCTGCAACTGAAAATGTAAAGTCCTCCTGGCTCTTCCCAGCCAAGGGAAAAGCCGGATTTGGTTAGGGATTCTGCCAGCTACTGTGTATGTCTATGCCAATGATGAATTCCAGAATTAGGGAAATAACCACAAGATGGGCTCAGGGACCCACTGGGCCCACTGTGAGCTGGGCCTGAGCTAAAACTCCATTGATCACCTGACCTCCATAAGCCCCTCCTCTGACTGGAGGGCCACAGCGACCTGTGAATCTCCCGGAAGCAGTGTAGTTCAGGACCTGTGTCCAGTCGTGCCAGAAGTTCTGGTTATTTCCTCTTCCCCAGTGCACACTTTGGTAAAAGGCCATAGGTCCCTTTTGGGGAAGGCTGGGCAATTGATTAACAGGGTGTGTTTTTGGCAGTGTATTGGGGTCCGTCCTCAAGGGGAGCCAGCCTCCCCTTCATTCAAAGGGTCCTGGGTCTGTAACCTGGCTCGGGTCTGGGACTTGGGGCAGGGGTGTGACCCTCTGTGTTTATGATTCAGGTTCGATTTTTGTTCTCTCAGCCTAGATTTTCCGTTCCTCCAGAACAAGTAAGAACTCAGTAGGCTTCCTACCCATTTCACATCCAGGAACACCATGATCAACCAGCCCACGCCATGGGTCTGAAGGAGTCAAGCTGTTCTGATCACTGCTCAGACTCTGCTGTCATTCAGGAATCATGCCCACCTGGCCTGGGGAGGCTGAGTGCTGTCCCCTGGCCCCTCCGCCCTGGGATCCAGTCACCCCCCACTGCAGTTAGGGGGAGGTATGGCCTACAGAGAAGAGTTCCCTGCAGGGAGCTCTTCAGAACGCCGGGGTTTCCCACACAAATTTATTCCTCAGTCATAGGGAAAGTGTGTCTTCTGGACCTTCCCAGGGTGGGTGAGGCCTCAGAAGATAAATGCACTCCAATGTTCCAGTCTCGGTAAGCCTTTGAAATCCCTTCCTCCGCATGAAACCAAGGAGAGTAGGCATTTCCATTTCGCTCACGGTGGGCCACATTTTGGTCCATGTTTCAGCCAACCAACCAAATCATTAAAGCTTTCCTAACTCCTGAGATGCAACATTAGATGCAGAATCTCAGCTTAGTGAGCTCATATCAATAAATCAGTGTCAACACTGGGATCCTGCTCTAAGAAAAAAAATGACCACAAAACGCTCCTGGCTCCAAGAATGGGGCCCTGAAGCTTCAGTTTCATTAGCTTCAAGGACAATTCATGGTTCCCCGGGCCAGAGCAGAAGTCAGCTCATGGCAAAGCAGCCCTTGGTGGGGAAATGGACTCCACTCTCGGCGACCCTGCGGGTGCAAGGACTCTGAGGGACAGGTGGGAACCACCTGGAGGGCGGGAGGGTGGCGAGCTGAGAGGCTCTGATGAAGAGCCTATCCCGGTGCTGGGGATAACTGAGGCCCCTGACTGGCCACCAGACACACCAGTTAGCAGAGTAAGGGGGAGAGGCCTCAGGCGCTGCCCAGGTGAATGTCTAAGGCTGCCAAGTTCCTTTGGACCTGGTGGATACTTGGAGATGGCCAACCCCACTCTAGACAGAATCACTTTGGAAACAATCTCCTTCCTAGGGTGAAGGGCCTCCCTGGGACTGAGGGATGTCAGCAACAGCAGGGACAGGCTGTGGGAAGGGTCAAAGGGAGCTGGCGAAAGCTGCTCCTGGAAGGCCCAGATGCAGGGTGGCCCTCACTCGGCTCCCAGGCCTCTGCTGTTCCACAGCCTCTCAGCACGGCTCCCAGACCCCCTGTCCCCAGGCCAGCCCGGCCCAGCTCCCAGACTTAACAGGCCCCTGTGGTGGGGGCCTGTGCTGCGTAGATAGGCCCTGCCTCTGGGGCGGAGCAGAGCAAGAGCAGGGGCTGAAGGGGGCGCGGTGTGGAGAACACACCTGGGCTCCCCCGCGGGCTCCGGCGGGGGGGCTCTGGGACCCCTGAGTGCCCTGCCCCGCAGGCCTGCGTCTCCTTCTGTGCAGACGTAGGGCTTGCGCCAGGTGATGTCTGAGGCCACCCTACGCCCTGGGAGACCCAGCTCATCACTAAGAGCTTCCTCCAGCCGGCTGCCATTACAGCCCCGAACAGCACCACCGAGGCAGACGCTTCCCACTGTGTCTTTCTCTTTTGGGGCCCAACTGTCAGCTGAGTCTCAGAGGCTGACATAACACAAGCCTACAAGGTTTAGCGCCCGCCCTCCTGCCTCTCTGGCCAGAGGTCAGGAATCGAGCTGGTTTTCAGTAGTCAGTTTATCATCTCCCAACTTGGCTGAGAACACCACCCACCACCACTGCCTTGGATGCCTCCCAGCCCTGGGGGCCTTTTCCTGTCCCAATGTGAACAGGAAACTGGACACAGGGGTGGGTGGAGCAAGGAGAGGGTTTCCAATGCAGCCCAGCCCACGAGAGAGGATCGCCTGGAGCGAAGCTGCCAAAACAGAGCTGAGACCCCTCCTCAAAAGCAGGAAGAAGACTCAGGACCATCCTCAGTTGCGGAGATGGCTTTCAAAGGCCATCTGAACAAGCCATGTGCTGCCTGGCTTTGGTCTGCTGGCAGCCTTCCCCACTCCTAGCACTGGGCTGGGGGCTGTGGTGGGGCCAGCCAGGGGAGGGGTTCGCTTTTCTTGGCTCCAATGGGTCGGAAAAACTGAGAAGGTGTCCCCAGGGAAGGAGCTGACCAGATGGAGGGAGTTGTCCAGACTCAGAGGCCTGAGACCACTCCTCCTCCCAGCTGCCCTGCGCAACCAGGAAGGTCTGGGCCACGTCTGGGGCGGTGGAGGGTGGGAATCGACATTGTGCTTGCCCCCAGGGTGTTGTGAGCCTGCCCTGCTGCCCGCGTTCACCCCTGTGGCGGACTGGGGGCTCTAACCAAAGGCGGCCAGGCCAAGCCCACAGAGGGGTGCAGCCTGCCCGACCCCAGGGATCTGGAAGGAGAGCCTGGCTTGGAACCCACGTCTCCTGACTTTGAAATTCCCTGTCCTTGGTTTGAAAGGAGAGAGGCAGTGCCGTGAGTCTACACTCTCTGGGAGTGTAGACCCCGAAGCTGGAGACCTGTGTTCGGATCCAAGTTCTACTGCCTCTCTCTGACTTTCTTTCTTCGACTCTGAAGCAGCGCCCTGCTTCCTGGTGGTGGAGGGTTCGATGGCTAGCAGCAGAGCCTGACACATAGCAAGCACTCAGAAACAGACTGTCGCTACCACTAGTAAGAGGAGGAGGAGGACCCCACTACCGCCAAGGTACTCCGGCGGCCAGCCTGCCAGGGGGCCGAATCCCTTCACTGGACACCCCTCGGGGAGGTTACTCTAAGTCTCGTTGGTATCTCGCCTTCTTTCCCCCTGGGAGATGCTAACTTTGGCAACCAGAACAGCACTGGAAGGTTTAACTGGGATGGGTGTAACTGAGTCAAATCGAACCATTTTTCAATCTCCTGAGAGGTCCAGATTTCTCTGAATGATCATTTGCTGAGGAAAAGTGGGCATGTCTCCTTAAGTTGGTGCTGCCCTTGCCCCCCTCCCCCCGCCCAGCCTGGCTAGTACTGTCCTTGTTCGGCCCCTGTGGTCCCTGTGCTGACCGTCTGCACCGAGAGGTGGGATTTCTCCGGGCTGGAGCACCCTGCACTTCATCTCTGCCCTCACCCTTCCCTCACCCTACCTTCGTCGTACTTTTGGGGTCTGTCTCCCACAGGAACAGGAGTTTCTCAAGGGCAGGCTTGCTGGAGGGCCATGGGCGGGCCTGCCATGACGTGGGGCAGGAAGGACTCTCCTTTGTGGGGCAGGGGGGACCCTGCCAGAGTTGACTCTGAACCAGGCAGGCGAGAGCCCAGGAGTAAGCAGCCCCCTTACTTGTACACTTTGGTGTTGTACGTCCTCTCCCCAGGGAAGCCAAACATGCCGCAGACCACTCGGGAATTCTTGGCTGTCCAGTGCTTGTCGCAGATCTGCTTCCAGGTCTTGCCGTCCTTGACCTCCACATAGCCCTCTGTCACGGGGGTGCGCTTGCGGTAGGCCGACAGGATGGCTCGGATCCGGATGTCCTCCACCTGGATGTTCAGGTTCTGGGAAGGCGGAGGCACAAAAGCAGAGGACTCACTCGCCGGGTCTGGCCACGAGAGGTGGCTGCAGGCCGGGCACTCTGCAGCCTGCGTCTGCCCTCGGCCCGGCAGAGTGGTGTGTGTGTGGGGGGGGGGTGGCGGGGGTGTGGCGGGGGGGTAGGAGTGGCCAGGAGCAGTCAGAGAAGAGCCCCAGGACCCCAGCGGCTTCTCCTACATCCTACAAAAAGCCTGGACAGCAGAGTGCGGCCGTTCCCTCTGTGGGTTCTCAAAATAAGCATAGAAGAGAGAATGCGTTCTTTGAATTTTCAAGTTCCATATTAAAAACAATTCGGGGTTTGTATTTTACTCCAAAGCATGTCCGGGCACACATGTGCCCGCATGTGTGTGCCTCCCCACTAAGCTTTCAGTAAAATCGAAGTGTCAGGCAGATGAGCCCCGGCCATCTTAAGGCTGGTGGTGCCACCTTGCATTCTACATTATCCCCTGGGGTCCGCGTTCCTCAGTGAGCAAATCCCAGGAGAGAAGGGGGAGGGCTTGGAGAGAAGAGGGGCGGGAGGAGCTTTGTGGAGGGACTCAGGGCTGCCCAGCAGGGAGGTAGGGATGGTCACAGTCGCTGGGCTGTGGCAAGGAAAGGAAAGATTCCAAATGACTTGAGGCCCTAGGGAAGCCCGCTCCTCACCCCCACTCCCACCCCCACCCCCATCCATCGTTCTGAGGCAGTGATGGAAGAGTCAGGACCCCGACAGGAGGAAGTGGAAGACACTGGGCAAGGGGGGGACGGCCTCTTGCCACACTGCATTGTGGGCTCTCCTCCCCACACCTCTGACACTGAGTGGCAATGTCCCTGCCCCACGCCTACCCCAGAGGCCCAGGGGTTTGGTAGAAGGACAGGGGGCCTCGAGAGGCCAAGCGGGATGGGAGGAATGGGGGACTCCATGGAGTTAGTGATAGCTGTGCTCAATCTGCCCCCAAACACTACAGAAGCTCCCTCCCAAAGCTCTCAGTTCCAGTCCTTCCTCTTTCTGCCCCTGCCTATGAGACCACCACCAGCTCTTGCAAGGGCCCCTGCGTCCATCTCCCTCTTCCATCCATCTGCTACAGGGCCAGCCACCAGAGGTCTTTCTAAAACACAGAGTGATCCTGTCCCTTGACTGTATAATAATGCCCCAATCACTTAGTGAGGTGCCCACAGCCGGTCATGACTGATGCCCCCTGTGCCTCCAGCCCCCTCAGTGTCCCCAGCCCCAAATCTATACTCAGATCAGGTTAACCGCAATAGCAACAGCTTCCATGTGCGAGCCCCATAAGGAGTGTTTTATGTGCGTTCTCTCACTTAATCCTCAACTAACAGAATGGGGTGGTTCGGAGCTATTGCCATCCCCTTTTCCAGATAAGAAAACTGGCTGACTCTATCTCCTGAGAACCACCTAGAGGCAGGGAGTGCAGTGTGAGGAGCTCTCTGAGCTGGGCCAGGGAGGAAGGGGGGAGCGCACAGGATCCTGGCAACCTGAGTGCCTGCGCCCCTGTCCAGCCAGGATGCAAATGAACCACGAGGTTGAACAGAACCATTATTTGGGTGCCCGGGGATTCATGTCTCCTCACCCCGGCTTCAGGGTGCAAAGCCAGGCCCTGTTCCAATAGCCTGGCAAGGCAGTGGAAAGTATGTGGGCCAGGAGTGATGGCGTTTGGCCCTGGTTCCTTTCCATGCAGAGAGGAAGGAAAGTGCCAGGGGCAGGATTATGTTTGCCAGCTTAGATCCTGGATCCTTTACAGCCTCCATTCGGGCCACAGGACCTGTGCCACCAAGACACGTGGACAGGGGCAAGCCAAGAAAGGGCCTGAGCTCTGGAGCAGCGACCTGTGGCCCAGCCCCCTCCTGCCTCTTCCCACGTCTGGAGGAGGGGCTGGAATTCCAGTGGGTAATGCATAATGCCCAGAAGGAAAGTTACTCTCCAGGGCAGGCAGCCTGGGCCAACTTTGTTAAATTCCGATCCTTCCCTACCCCCCACCCCCAGCGCCATGGGGCAGCAGTGCAGGCTCACTAAGGGGAGATGTAAAATGTGACCCTCAGCACCCCAGCTACCACAGTGGGAGAGGGGACACGGCAGACCCACGTACCCTTGCCTTGATGCAAGGCGGCATCTCTTCTGCAGAAATGTGACGGGGGGGGGGGGAGCCAGGAGGGCTCAAGGATGTGGGAAACGAGGTTTAGAGAGGAGAAAGTACTAGAGCAAAGTGTCCTTGTCCTTATTCTTCCACCAACTCACTACCTGTGTGTGTGTGTGTGTGTCTCTGTGTGGGTCTGTGTGTCTCTGCATGTCTGTGTGAGTCTGTCTGTGCACCTATGCGGTGCAGGAGAGGTCCAGAGAGGGACTTGTTCTCTCCAAAGCCTTAGAAAAGTGGTCAGGGTCGCTCCTTCAAAATGGAATGTCTTCTTTTCTCCCTCCATGGAAGCAACCCCTTCTCATTCCGTCAGGCTCAAATTCACTTCAGTCATTCATTTATTCATTTGTTCAACAAAATACAGTCTCTGCCCTCAATGGACCTCGAAGGGTTCCTCCGTCTGCCCCAACCACAGGGCTCTGTCTCTTCTCTGAATAACAAAAACTGCGAGGGCCCTCACTTATCAAACACCAACCGATTGAGTACACGGCAGGCTCTGGGCTCACTCAACTCCCATGACAACCCACGAGCAGGCTGATGGTGCACCCATGTTCCAGGTGAAAAGTGAGAAAACTTGGCAAGGTTTTGCAACTTCTCCAAGCTCACAGAGCCAGGAAGTAGGTAAACAAGGGTGAAGACTGAGTTCGGACTCCAAGCCTGTGCTCCGGCCTGGGTTCCAGTCCTTCCTCTTTCTGCCCCTGCCTATGAGACCACCACCAGCTCTTGCAAGGGCCCCTGCGTCCATCTCCCTCTTCCATCCATCTGCTACAGGGCCAGCCACCAGAGGTCTTTCTAAAACACAGAGTGATCCTGTCCCTTGACTGTATAATAATGCCCCAATCACTTAGTGAGGTGCCCACAGCCGGTCATGACTGATGCCCCCTGTGCCTCCAGCCCCCTCAGTGTCCCCAGCCCCAAATCTGTACTCAGATCTGGTTAACCGCAATAGCAACAGCTTCCATGTGCGAGCCCCATAAGGAGTGTTTTATGTGCGTTCTCTCACTTAATCCTCAACTAACAGAATGGGGTGGTTCGGAGCTATTGCCATCCCCTTTTCCAGATAAGAAAACTGGCTGACTCTATCTCCTGAGAACCACCTAGAGGCAGGGAGTGCAGTGTGAGGAGCTCTCTGAGCTGGGCCAGGGAGGAAGGGGGGAGCGCACAGGATCCTGGCAACCTGAGTGCCTGCGCCCCTGTCCAGCCAGGATGCCCTCCCACTCATGCCCTGTCCAGGGCGAGGTACTGAGTTGACCCACACGGGGCAGGGGCAGAGGCTCGGCCTTCTGGGTGGTCCCTTTGGGGCCTGCACGTTTGAAGTCCATCCTGTGCTCCGGTGGGAGGAGCCCTGAGTCAGACCAGAATGTACGTGAGGGGAGAACTGCTTCCCAGCTGCTCTTGGACTCGGGCCAGGGGGCAGCAGGGAAACCTTCGTGGCACGCATTCAGGGCTCCCTGCTAGCTAACGAGCTCCCATAGGCCGCCTAGAGACTTCTGTGCAGGAAAACACACACAGACACACAGAACTTCCCTCCTTACTTCACTGCTGTGGAATCTCTTCCATAACCACAAGGGTTAGATTTTTTTTTTCCTCAGAAGTTCAACTCCAAAAAAGAGAAGATGTGAAACACTGAAACACAGACACATTTTTCTTTCTTTTCTCACAAGGGGCTCTCTAGACTTGCTGGTTATACATTAAGACCAACAGCCCAGAAGTTGGTAATGCATCTGGCACATTTTCAAATTAAAATTAAAGTCTGAATGCTGTCTCTCTTGCCAGAGATAAGAGTTCACCCAGATCTCCAACAAGGCCTTCCTCCAAGGAATTCACAGAACCTTCTAGACTTGTCCTACTCAGAACTCATCTCATCCCCGGCAGGGCTCGAGCCCTGAGAGTGATGATCAGCCGCTTCCAAAAGGGCAAATCAAGGTGCAGGGAGGTGAGGGCCTGCCTTGCTTCAGCCAGGGGGCTGGTGGAAAGAAAGGCTGGTGCAGGAGCACCAGGGCAGGACTCCCAGTCTTGTGTCTGCATGACATTTCACATTTGCAGCATGTGTGAATGACTTGCAAAAATTCCACAGTGTGACAGTCTGGGGCTGTCGCCAATGAGGAAAAATCACAAATTTTGAAAGTCTAGTTGAAGATTGCATCAGGTAAAGATACAGGGGGAGGCAAGGCAAGGCAAGGCAAGGCAAGCAAGCCTATAAAGACATACTTCACAATTTGAAAGCTCGACACTGGGTGCAAAGCCCCCCATTCCAGGAGGCATGTTTGTAACGGCCCCACCTTAGCCCAATTATCTTCCTTCCCTCTGCTTTAGAAGTTGTCCTTGAATATCAGCCCAGGCCCTCCCACCTGAGAAGGCGTCCCAGGAGAGGTGTCGAGGAGGGAGGACGGCAGTGGTGAGCTGCACGAGCACGCAGTCACCCCAACAAGAATGCGCGGCTGGTTCCACACCACCTCTGTCTGCTTAGCAGGCCCCATCCGTCTACTGCTAATGGCTTCCTGCATCTTGCTCCCTAAGCCCTCAGCTGCCTTTATTCAGCCGTTTCAAAACCTGGCCTTCCAGACGGAGATCCATTTTCCCAACCACCAGCTCAGCACCTTCCTCAGCACCTCAAACCAAACACATCCAAGATACCCTTAACCTTTCCTCCGCTCACCGAGTCAGGCTCCCGCCCTTCTAGCTTGCAGACCACAAGCCTCACCTGCGTTCTGCACCTTCCCCTCCTCACGCCTACCGCCCGGCCACCCAGCGACACCTCGTCTAGCCTTCCGTCACTGCCCCATTCCTATCTCCATCTGCCAGTCAGGTGGCAATGGGAACCGTGGGAGTGAAATGAC